TCATACGAGTTGGATCGGATGTGGGAACAGGTCAGATTAATAAATCATCGGCACAGGCTATGAGCTTCAAGCATAATATTAATAATAATAATAATAATAATAATAATAATAATAATAATAATAATTTATTATTTATACCCCGATCATCTGGATGGGTTTCCCCAGCCACTCTGGGCGGCTTCCAGCAAAATATTAAAATACAATAATTCATCAAATATTGAAAGCTTCCCTAAACAGGGCTGCTTTCAGATGTCTTCTAAAAGTCAGATTGCATCCTTTTGAAAGAGTGCTAGGACTAAATGGCAAATTGAGCATTTGGATCAGTCATCCCTGACTATTGCCCTACAGCTCTTATGGACTACAATTCCCATAAACCCTAGCCACTGGGCACTCTGATCAGGGTTGATGGGAATTGCAGTCCAAAACAGCAGGAAGGCACCAGGTTGGGGGCGGCTAAGCTGGATGCATTCCCATTGTAAAGAGTGTAATAAAAAACTGTTACACAAAACAACAACTTTCAAAGAGGGTTTTTAAGAATAAAATAAAAATATTTTCCAGATGATTCTGTTCCAAGGAGTTAGACACAGATTAGATAAAAGAGGGAGAGAGCTAAAAGCCACCAATTTAAAAAGGAATGTTAAAGAAATGTAATAATACACCCCATGTGTATTTGTAAACATAGTAAAAGGTAAAGGTACCCCTGCCCGTACGGGCCAGTCTTGACAGACTCTAGGGTTGTGCGCCCATCTCACTCAAGAGGCCGAGGGCCAGCGCTGTCCGGAGACACTTCCGGGTCACGTGGCCAGCGTGACAAAGCTGCATCTGGCGAGCCAGCGCAGCACACGGAACGCCGTTTACCTTCCCGCCAGTAAGCGGTCCCTATTTATCTACTTGCACCTGGGGGTGCTTTCGAACTGCTAGGTTGGCAGGCGCTGGGACCGAATAACGGGAGCGCACCCCGCCGCGGGGATTCGAACCGCCGACCTTTCGATCGGCAAGCCCTAGGCGCTGAGGCTTTTACCCACAGCGCCACCCGCGTCCCATTATTTGTAAACATAGATGTCCTTTATTTTCCTTGGACATCATACATAATATCTAGACGATAATCTGTTTAGATGCCTAATGATGTAAGTGAAAGGAATATCGATAGAGGAATCAAAGGGTTGAAGGAATAAAATTGTATTAGACTCAAGATGGTAAGATAGAATTGACTATGTTTCTGTTAAAGACATTTACCGGTGAATGACTAGATATAATTAATTGCACATCTTGTAAGGCCCACTGTGTAACTAAGAAAGCTTTCATGCACATCTGTTTAAATGACTATCCTGGTAAGGAAATATCTCTCCACTGAAAGCCTCCATCACAGTTCTGCTAATGACTTTCTGGTTAGCTTAGGCTTATAAACGTGGTGTTATGTTATCTACATGGCATTGAATCCAGACATCTTTCTGCCATCTTCCATGCATACTATTGTCACTCATGGAGAAAGTATATCTATCTAGAAAGAGATTGACTCTGTGTTCACGGTCCATCCTCTCCCTTCTGATGACTGATTTGGACTGGCAGAAAGCATCACTGTACCTGTGTGGCTTATGGATGCCGTATACACTGAATTTGTAGGCTCACAAAAACCTGCACCCAGAGCAAATTATTCAGTATGTAGGTAAATGTGATGCTTTCCTCAGATAGAACATTAAGTTTAGTATCCTGATCAAGGAAAGTAATAGTTCTGCTCTATTCCTCCTTAGTCAGACCATACCTGGAGTATTGTGTCCAATTCTGGGCACCACAATTTAAGGATAATAGACAAGCTGGAACATGTGCAGGGGAGGGCAACCAAGATGATCAAGGGTCTGGAAATCAAGCCTTATGAGGAACAGTTGAGGGAGTTGGGGATGTTTAGCCAGGAAAAGAGGAGACTGAGAGGAGGTAGGATAACCATCTTCAAATATCTAAAGGGCTGTCACATGGAAGATGGAGCAAGCTTGTTTTCTCCTGCTCTGGAGGGGAGGACCTGAAGCAATGACTACGAGTTATAAGAAAGAAGATTCCGACTAAACATCAGGAAGAACTTTCTGATGGATAGAGCTGTTTGACCATGGAATGGACACCCTCGGAAGATGTTGGGCTCTCCTTCCTTGGATGTTTTTAAGCAAAGGTTGGGTGGCCATCTGTCATGGATGTATTAGCTGAAATTCCTACAATGCAGGGGGTTAGGCTAGATGACTCTTAAGGTCCTTTCCTTGAGAAGGGGGAGCAATTGGTTCCCCTGCAACTCACATGTACAAAATGATTATTTGCCTGATGGCAAAATTTGCCCATGAGTATTTAATGATGGGGTGAACAAAAGCAAAAAAGGAATAGCAGAAAAGAAAGTAAAAGATGCTGGGGAGGAGAAAAGAAGCATAACTGACAAGATAATTGTTTGAAGCATCACTTAAAATTATCACCAATGTGACAATTTGCACCTACATCCTTATCAGACCAATACTACTATAAAGTGGTTTATAAGTGTCCTCATAAGATGTCCATAAAAGGATTTTGTCTAGTCATCTAGGCAACTTCAGCTGCCATCCTGTACACATTTACCTGTGAGTAAGTCCCATTGAACTCACCGAATTTTACTTTTGAGTAGACATGTACCGAATAGATTTCACTGTAAACCTTAGTAATTGTGTATGTTTTGCTTTCATGTAATTGTTTTTGGTACAATTGGAGATTTATTTACTTTTTTAACATGGTGAGATTGAGTATGAAAAAGTTTGCAAATCCCTGCAACAACAGTAACCTGAGAACAGAATGGTTGGTGGTGACTCAATAAAAAAGCAAAGCAAAATCTGCATCAGAGGGCACAACATATTCCCCTGGCATTACAGCATTGCAACTTGAGACAAAGAATTAAACAACCCTGCAGTGGCAGAACAAAGCGATATTTTCAATCTACTCCATGAAGTAATCAATAAGAACAATTCTCTTTAATGTGCTTTGATGACTATTTTCAGGCTTTAGAATTCTTCCCACTACTTGCTAATCCCTATTCAAAGTAAAATACATTTTAAAAAACCCATCAACACAAAAGAATCCAACATAATTGCAGCCACACAAACAAAAAAGGAAAAATACAGCAGGAAGGCGTTCTGAAAACACTTTATTAGGCAATTAAATGTAATCAGAATAGACCATTTTGTTTTGCACCTATGAATATTTTTTGTGTCCTGCAGCTGGAAAAAACACCAGTCTGTAAAGTGATTTTCATCATGTAGTGTCTCTCTTTGATATCTGCTGCAGAAAGTTTGGTTGATGATGCTCTTCGAGTTTGATTTTAATCCATGTATATGAACCAAACACAGCAGGAAGATTTGTTCCCTTCTGCTCCTCCTCTTTTATCACTGTTCTCTGGCCTCTGTGCCCTGTGCACCTTCATATTAATGATGCTGGTGACTCAGTACAGCAAATTAGGTGAAACACAACACGTTAATTGCAGGCTGTTCTTTTTCATAAACAAAAGTACATTTGGCTAGTCATTCCATTGACCTTCTGACAACATTGTGTGACCAAGATGTAGCCAGTTGATGTGCAAAGACATTTCCACTCACTTTCCTTTTCAAATAGTTGAGTATCAGCCACAGATTCCAATACAAAGAAGTGCAGAGAATCTGGAGTTTGTTTGTGTTCAGGCCCATGTTAGTGTGGAAGATTTTGCAGCCAAAACATAACTAGCAAGCCCAGCAATAGTTAATGTACTGTATGAAAGGGGTCCATGGAGCTGTATTTGCTAAAAGGCTGACAGACCATGGAAAAGTACAGTAATTGGTAGAGTCCTATGAGGGAGGAAGTAAAAGTTTGTTTTCTTCCTCTTCTCACTCTCTTCTCTTTGAATCATTGTAGCTGATTAAATGTGAACATGAAATAACTCATGAACAAGTGAATGCAGAAAGTGTTGGTGGCAGGGGAAAAATATTGGTATAAAGGTGAATTCCCTAGATCAGGGGTCTGCAACCTTTAAGACAAAAAGAGCCACTTGGACCCGTTTCCGAAGAGAAAAAAAACTGGGAGCCGCAAAACTCGTCATTATAAAAATAACCTTTTTGTCACTTTTTAAATATTTCTTTGTTTGACCCCTCAGAATTACTCCTCATAGAAATAAACGTTAAATTAACAAGTTACCTTTTTTTGTGTGTGTGGTCTTCACTCCCCTTCAAAACAGTGACCAGCGTACATGCCCCCTTTCAATGCAGTGACCAGCGTACATGCTCCTTACAATGTAGCGGGCGGGTGGGAAGGTGACGTCGGGATGGTGCGTGACTAACGCACGCACCACCCCCATGCGACGTCACAGCCAGTACAGCGCCCGCCGCAGTGGGGAGTGTCGGGCGCACAATGCGCCTCCTCCACTTGCTAGTATCCGCCCTGGAGCCGCGGCAAAGGTGTAAAAGAGCCACATGCGGCTCTGGAGCCGCGGGTTGCAGACCCCTGCCCTAGATGACAAGATCCAGGTTTTTTGGGGGGGGAGTACAATTTGGTGAGAGAAGGTGAGAGAACAGAAGCAGAGATTCAAAATTACATAATATGCAACAAAGTAAACATGGAAACATAGGCTGTGAGACATTTAAAATATACCCTTGTGAGTTCCAAAATTTCCGCTTCCCTTCCTGTATACAGAGTTTACTTACAAACTCTCCAAGGTCAGATTCATGTCCTTTTCCATACAGCATTCAGAAAAAGTTGCACAGACGCCTTCACTGTAATCTTTTCGATGTCTACAAAAAACATTCTTGTTTAGACAAGCTGGATGCTTAGAAAGTAGAGGTAAATTATAATGTTTAAAGTAGAGCTGTGAATTTTTCTCAGTATTATTGATTTATCTTTTTGTAAACCGCTTTGAGGTGCTTTTTTTTTTTTACAACCAAGTGGTGTATAAATTTTATAAAATAAATAAAAGTCTTTTGACATTTAAAAGTGAAGGTAATTGAGAGGTGCAGGTTCAGTCACTGGTCTATCTGTTTACAGAGTTTGACTGTAAATTATTTCTGTTATGGTTCATGGTTCTTGAAAAAGATTTAAGAAGCTTGATGCAGAATACCCAATTCTGTACCGTAAATTCATCTGCAGCCACCTGCTGTCTCAAGACAAACATACAAATGCAGCAAAGGGGGAAGGAAAAATTAATGCTGCCAAGCAATGACAGCCAGTCTGAGTTTTAGCAGTAGAATTTCCAGGTCAAGGGACACAGCTTTGAAAAAGTACTGAGGAGCCAGAAGAAGTATGTGTCACATCCACTCCTTCAGGGGTAATGCCTGCATTTATGACTTTGCTTCTAAGGGAATGTTCACATTACAGTACCAGCTTAGAGATCAGTGAAGTTTTTAATCCGTGGATTCCACAGTGCTTTCCTCCCAGCTCTTTGCATCATCGTAGCTTCATTAGTGCCAGATTCATTTCTGTTTGTGTTCACGCCAGGGCATACCTGCCAGGTTCCCCAGAAAAAAACAGGACATCCAGTCCCCCGCCCCCCGTGTGAAATTGTGGTGGTCATTTTGGGTGCTGCACTCTCGCCTCGAAAAAAGTGCTTTATTTGGAGCGAGAGTGAGGTGCGGGTCATGCGACTTACCAGGGAGCGCATGCCAGTATCGGGCCTGAAAAAGTTGGATGGTATGCTGGGTGTTGGAGGTGGGAGGGATGTCTATACCACATGAATGCTCAATGCATATTCTGCAAAGGGCTAACCCACACTTTCTCTCTTCCCACTGTCCGCCCCCCCAAAAAACCCCGCTCTTTAGTGTGAAGGGGACAGGTTAGGTGCGGAGCAAGGAGGAAACCGCTTGGACCCGTGTCTAGAATTGCCTTAAATAATAAGTGCAATCCTAAATATGTCTTCTCTGAAGTCTGCTTTGGAAAAGATGACCCTTTCAGCTGTGCGATTTTGATTTTGTGCTGTGCGCTGCTGTGGCCCTCACAGTGCCATGAAACGCTGTTGTCCGATACAGATGTGTCAAAATCCTGGCAACCTTGAAATTATCACCCATGAGAGCACGTTCCTGTTTTTCAAAATTGTTTTTAGATGTCCCTAATGTTGTTAAATATGCTTTTTTAACTGCTTTGTTTGGCTGTTTCTCGCCTTGGGCTTCTTTGAGGGCGGGACAGAAACGTAAGAAGGGAATAAATGAAATGCGGGGTTTTCGCCATCGATTCCTATGCGGAGGCAACAACGCGCGCAGCAACGAAAGGAAACTGCCACTGAGGGAGAAACTGGCGCTCTAGCTTCTTCTATGCGGGAAGAGCTCTGCTTAGCCCCGCCCCATTGTGACGTCGTCGAGTCACGGGCCTCACGTCGTCCATAGGCAACGGCGATACGTCGCCAATGCAGCCCCGCGCTGTTTGAGGGCTTGTAACAATGGCCGCCCTAGCAACGGCAGCGCTAGCGACGGTAACCAGGAGCAACCAGGTAAATACTCCCCATCACCCTCAAACTGTATCGAGCTTCGTCTCTGTGGGCTTCTGAGTGAGGTTCTGCTTGTGGCCGAGGGAGGAAAGGCGGAGACCGAGGGTTACACGGGACTTCGCTGGTTTCATACACGTGTCTGAAAACTACCGGCGTTGCCCCCTGTGCCGTCAGAGCCTCCATTAACGCGTCTATTATTCCCGCAAATACAGGGATCCGGTACCACCAGGACCGGCTCCGCCATGGCGCAGGGGGGATCGGGACCCTGGGAAGGCTACGGACCCGCAACCGCCCAGCTTATGGGCCTTGTGCGCAGGAACTATTATGTGCGTGAAGGTTCAGGTGTGCTCCGAGTTTGCCCCCAAATGCCACAGTAAATGAATGAATCTTGCTCTGCAGGGATCTTGGAGATACATATTGCGATGAGATATTGCGTTAGAATATTTTAATGTGAAATTTAAATTCCTTTATTTGATTCGCCATTAGTGGTGTAATTCAACCGACTTAAGATTCAGGTGAAAGATGACTGAATCAGGCATTCATCTTTTATTTTTTAAGCACCCTTGGCACTGTGGGATAAACCACAGAAGAGTTTGGATTTGATATCCCGCTTTATCACTACCCGAAGGAGTCTCAAAAGTGGCTAACATTCTCCTTTCCCTTCCTCTCCCACAACAAACACTCTGTGAGGTGCGTGGGGCTGAGAGACTTCAGAGAAGTGTGACTGGCCCAAGGTCACCCAGCTGCTGCATGTGGAGGAGTGGAGACACGAACCCGGTTCCCCAGATTACGAATCTATCGCTCTTAACCACTACACCACACTGGCTCTCAGAGCCTAGGACTTGCCGATCAGAAGGTCGGCAGTTCGAATCCCCACGAAAAACTTAACTGTCAGACTCAATGTCTGCTACATAGAGATCAGGCTTAGATTTCCCCTCTGAATAAAGCAAAATTGTCACATCACTGCAAAGGAAGCAGAAAGTAGATTTGGGGCCTCATACTCAGTGGCGCTGTGGGTTAAACTACAAAGCCTAGGACTTGCCGATCAGAAGGTCGGTGGTTCGAATCCCCGCCACTGGGTGAGCTCCCATTGCTCAGTCCCTGCTCCTGCCAACCTAGCAGTTCAAAAGCACATCAAAGTGCAAGTAGATAAATAAGTACCGCTCTGGTGGGAAGGTAAACGGCGTTTCCGTGCACTGCTCTGGTTCGCCAGAAGCGGCTTAATCATGCTGGCCACATGTAAGCTGTACGCCAGCTCCCTTGGCCAATAAAGTGAGATGAGCGCCGCAACCCCAGAGTCGGTCACAACTGGACCTAATGGTCAGGGGTCCCTTTACCTTTACCTTAAGATTCAGGTGAAAGATGACTGAATCAGGCATTCATCTTTTACTTTTTAAGCACCCTTTAAATACCCCCCCCCCAGTTTTTCTGATTAATGCATTTCTTCTCATGTTTTGGGTAGAATCACGGTTCTTTCAGTAATTCAACTGCTTTTCAACAAAATTTCAGAACTGCAAGATGAAAGCTGATCAGCCTAAGAAAGCTGAATTTATAAGAGAAGGGGACAAACTAAATAAAGAGTAAGTGTATATCTTCTATTGTTGTAGGAAACATAGTTTAAAATTACAACGAAACAAAGAAATTATAACAGGATAGTGACTTGGAACTCATATAGTTCAATATTCTTGTTTAATACCTTTAAAGGAAGTATAATCTTTGTTCAGCTTTAAAAAGGAGACTTTTGGGTCATTTTGATTACCCCACCCATAGAGTTCATATGGTACAAACATGTGCAGTCCAATCCTAAGCATGTTTACCCAGAAATAAGCCCTACTGTATAACACACTAGTAAATGTGCATAGTATTGTAGCTATTAGCAAAGCCCAATCAAATAAGAAAAAATTCTTAAATCATAACATTTCCACTCAGTATGATTAGTTTAAAAGGAGCAAAATTTCTCCTTTATTATGTGACTGCTGAATTTTATGTTACAATAGACTTGTCCCTAAGATAACCATAATGAAATTTGATTTGTAGTAAGGCTTTGATCAACATCCAATTTATTATTAATTAGCATTCCTAAAGACATATGAGGACTACATTGGAGAGTATTGCCTTTGTGGTACTTACATGTTTTATGCAGCAGGGCATTTGGCTTGAGTGGCATTTTAATCAGGAAAAAGTGGCAGGATATGTGTATACAATGCAGATCTCCTGGTCATGCCTGGTTTGCCCTTAAATGAGGTGTGTTTTTATGGAAATTATAATTTTATATTTTTCTGAAAGTGATGTGGTTTAAGACTATTTATTGATTCATTTTTTACTTATTACTAGAATAATTTACAGGTTCAAACTATAGACTAATTAAAATTATTTATTGTATTTGCTTTGCTTGGGTGAATGCATTTTAACTGAAAAATATGAGTAGTGTATTTTTTTGTATTGCATGGAGACCTAACTGGTCAAAACTTTTTATTTTTGATTTAATTGGTACCAATGTATATTCTGTTATTTGTCAAATATGCATTTTAAACCAAACTTTGTCCCTAGACTTCTGAGCATTGAAAGGGATAAAAATATGCTTCTCTTCAACAAGAAGAGTGATTTCAGGAGGGAATATAACATATTGGAAGAACTGGAACATCAACTGACTAAGAACCGGAAAGCAGAAAGTAAAATATTGTTTTCTTAATATATATTTATTCAATTACCAGTTTGATAATAGCTGAAAGCATTTCCTCCTACATTTTATGTCCCACAAACGCCACAAAAGGTAAAGGTAGCTGGGTTGGCCCATTTCTAAAATCTATATTAGGGCAATACCTTTATTAGGCTAAAGTCTCACAAAATAGTGTGCAAGCTTCAAGTTCTCCAGAATGGTAAGCAAAACAATGAGCGGAGAGAGGAAAATGCTGGGTGGTAAAGCCATGAGTTTGAATCTTGTAGGAACCTTAAGATGAGCAGAGGGTAGCACGTGTGCGAACAAGGCTCTGTAGTATTGTAGCTGCTCATTTTATTTAAATTATTATGTCAGTTACAATGAACAAAAATGAAAATGATTTTTTTAATTTGCATTTTCACAGTGTGTATAAAATATTTTTGCCCAACTTTTTCTTTAAAGAATAAAATATCCCCCCCCCCCGCTTTAAAAACAGGTATGTGCACATGTTACAGCATCAAAATTCCCAAATGCAACACCTTCTTAAGATCATTTTTGGAAGTACCGTACTTCCTATTAGGTGCCATGGGAGATTAACTAGAATCAGCAGTTGCTCCACTCACAGATTGGGCTCTTAAGCCTCTCCTTCAAATGTCATCCCCCTGAAAAGCTGCCTGCCAAGACTGGGAGGCCTCCCAAGTGGCATCTTAAAAGGCATGAGAACTACCATCAGAATGAGTTTTCTAATCCTCTCTGCCATGAGTTACAGCAGTAGTCTTCAACATTTTCAGACCTAGAACCCACCTTTAACCAGGGTGGATTTGATTTAAATCACTAGTCAGTAAGACTTGATTTAAATCATTATTTTTTTACAGAAAGAATCAATTCTTGCTGGTATAATCTTAATATTTACAACCAGATGAAGTTTTCATTTTTGGAATAAAGATGTTTTAAAATGAAGGTGTAAGGTGATTTATTTATTTTTTTGCTTACTTTCACAGAAGGTAATATCCAACAAAAACTGGGCAGAATTTATAATAATGTTAAAGGACTCCAGCGACAATTAAAACATGTGAAGCCAACCCCAGAATGTAAGTCTTACTACTAATCTTTTTGCTAGGAAAAAGAAAATCCTTATAATTTGCCTGAATAATTGTGTTGCGGATTGACACTTTCCCTGTGTTTTAGCTCTGAAAGGGTTTTCATTGTGCACTTGGCTGATATTGGATTAAACTGAACACAGTTGCAGCCCAGTTTACAAAGTCTGCAGTCCTCTGCTCACATACTAGGGACTTACTCTAATGGAAGTCAGTGAGACTTATTTCTGAGGAAACCTTCATTATATCATGCTGAAGGTCTCTTCTGTGTTGGCCTGCAATGTATAAGAGCAGGGATCTGCCAAACTGCTGTTATTCAATGAACGTTAATTCTGCTTTAGCTGTGATAGGTGGAAGTGTCATTTCGTTATGTGATCAAGCTCACTTGTTTGTGTGGTAATAATAATAATAATAATAATAATAATAATAATAATAATAATAATAAAATTGTAGCCCACCCATCTTACTAGAACTGGATTATTATAGATCTATTCCTGACATAAATTCACTAGGTAGTTGTTGAAGGATATTTGGAACTGTTTATGATGTTTGCATTAGCAGAAATGTCCTGGTTTTATCTCATTTCCCTTTTCTTTAAATTTGGTTATTTTACAATGTGTTAGTATTTTTAAAGCATCTGCTGTGAGCAAACCTCTCTATCTTAATATATAAACATAACTTTCTCTCTATTTTGTAGTTGTTGACAGACTCAGAGAAATGATGGAAGACGCTGAAATGTCAATAAATGCATTTAAAGAAGAACAGCGACAAAAGTATTTTATTTTTATTTAAAGCATTAATACCCTGACTGTTTTTGATAGCGCTAAGGTGGTTAATAGCAAAGTTAAATCAACATAACAACATTAGAAGCAGAACAGAGAATAAAAAGTAACTACTAAGTTTCTAGCAGTTAAAAGTTGTTCAGTTTAACATTTATGGGTTGAAATCCGGTCCTTAAAAGGAAGGTTTTAGCAATTTAAGCCTTTTTAAAATGGTTTTAGCAAGCCACTTAAAAGGAGCATGGTGTAAGTCCTTTTGGAGAGAGTTCCAGATTCTGGGCACAGCTACCATGAAAGCCCTCTTATCTAGTACATCATATGCTCTGGTTTTAAATCTGATAGTTGTTATACTAGAAGAGCCTTCCCCAACCTGGTGCCCTTTAGATGTTTTTAACTACATTTCTCATCAGCCTCAGCCAGCATGGCCAATGGTCTTATGAGAACTTTACTCAAGAAGAGGCATAGGCAAACTCCAGCCCTCCAGACGTTTGGGACTACAATTCCCATCATCCCTAGCTAACAGGACCAGTGGTCAGGGATAACAGTATTTCCCAATTTTCAGGAATGCATGCCGCCCTACATCTACATAGACAAGAGAGTGTTTATATGACCTTTTGGCATAAATACTGTCTGAAAACTTACTATTCCAACGTTTTGCTGCCACTCTCAGGCTCCAATTGTTGAACACATCCAATAATGTAGGCATCCTCAGTGGGATTTTTGACTTTGATCAGCTTGCTTTCCAAAACTATTTTTACAAATCTACTCAGTTTCAAACATATTTTTCCAGGCAAGCATGGTTGGTACTAGTCACATAGTTATCCAGATCTTACTGTCTTTAGGATTGTTGGATAGTTATTTTGCTAATTGTTAATGGTTTATTAATTATGCTTTTATTTAAGATATGAGGAGCTTCTGAGAGAGGAGAAGACAGCTACTAATGAGATTAATGCATTGGAGAAAAAAATTGAGCTCTGGGCATTAGGTACTTCAGCAACAGGAAATACGCCTAAACAAGGCATGCTTGTAGTGGATAAAAAGAGACAAAATCACCTGCCTCCTGGAGTAGCTGAGCTTGATAAATTCCTTCAACAGACAGGGGGCAAGCAAGGAGGTTGGGATGTATATGATCACCAAGAATTTTTGAAATTGTGGACAAAGCATAAAGGAAAACCATCGTACATTGATGAAGTCCTTGATCATCTTCCTGACAGAACAAGGGAGGATATTCTGCAGCATGAGAAATGGTATCAAGAATTTCTGATTTTAGAAGCACAAAAAAAGGAGGTGAGATAATGTTGCTAATTAGCGTTTGCCATTTAAACAACTTTGTGTCAAAAGCGATGAGACAGTTCACCCTCTTTTCTTCATCTCTAGCTCTGCTGCCATGGCTTTCTTTTCCTTTGCTGGTAAGCAGGACATGCTAAAGGTAAAGGGATTAAAGATTGCTAAAAATGTTGTTTCGTCCAAGGATTACATGCCCAGGTTTTTGGGTAACAAAATTGTAATCCTGATCATTTCCTGAACAGTTTACAAAGTAAGGGTCATTCTGTACATTACTTTGACTGCATAGAGGCTTCATTACATGGTAGTTTTTAATTTGTGGGGAACAGCTTAGGATACAGGTGTGGCAGTTTTTGCCATATTAGCACATACCTTTTCTTTCTGGAATTTTGTGCTGGCAAACATAATCTGAAATCTCTTAAATTGCAGTGGAATTTAGGCAATAAGACTAAGCAGGTAACTTGGGAAGAAGTATGTGTGGCGTTCGTATGGAGCCCCCGGTCGTCTCATGGACTATTGACCCGTACACCACTAATCCGCTGCCACCAACCAGGTCCTCCCTGGTAAAATCACTTCAGTCTCAGTCAGCTTTTCAATTAATAAAGAAGAGTATATTTTATTTCAGACACAAACAAAACGTTTACCGCATTCCAAACATTGTTGCTCTTTACTTTCTTAGTCTTATTTTCCTCTCTCTATCTCTTTTACCTCCCCACGCTCAAGAACCCACTGCCCTAACTGTCTCTCTATTCCCAACTGCCGTTTCCAACTGCCTTTCCCAACCAGCCAACCTACTAAAACCAACCAACTGCCCACCAACAACTCCCAACGAACTCCCCCCAGAACTAGTTTTATAGAGCCACTGACTCCACCCCCCTGGGTCCTGTCTGTGCAACCTATTTAACTATTTCCCCTCCAGCACTCTCTGATTTATGTTAACGTCACAGTATGGAGTTACTCATTCTGCCTGAACCTTGTGTTAAAGCCCAACTGTTGCTGCTTCTTTGCAGATTTGAATGAGAAGGGAGTAGTTTGCCATAGAGAAGCTTTAGGCAAGTAGAGGAAACTTATTTTTCACACGATATGTGGCTTCCCCATAGCTGGCAAAAAATAGTTGGGTTTTGTGTGTGTGGAATAGTGATGTTGATTTGAGAGCTGGCAACTAAAAGGATTAAATGCCTCCTCCCACCCAAAGTTCTCCCCTGCAAATTGTCCCTGCTTGGCCCAGATTTCCATAGGAGAATCAATGACTAGGCCAGTGGTTTTCAACCAGTGCACCGTGGCACCCAGGGGTGCCTTGATTGATGATCAGGGGTGCCACAGGCAACACTGGCCTCTGTCCCTCTCTGTCTCTGCCTCCCAAAGGCTTGCACAGCTGTTTGTTGCAGCAGCCAAGGCCACAATGTGCTCCACAGGCAAATGGTGCCTCTGGGGCTGGCCAGGGGGTGCTGGTTGCCAGGAGCTGAGGTAGCCTCAGAGTAAGCAAGGAAGCAAACAGGTAAGGGAGCCCAGCCAGCCAGCCTGCCAGCCCTTGCTGTTGGGAATAGACACACAAATCCCAGGTCCTTGTGGGGCAGTGTGAGGAGGCACCTGTCTTTGGGGCAGGAGGAGCAGCTGCAACTGCCCGGAGGACTCACAAGGAGAAGGGAGAGGAGAGGAGGCTGAGGGAGCCCTCCACAAGGGAGGATGAGAGGCTGCCAGCTCTGCAGGCAAGGGGTAACATTACAGAGCTCCTGAGCCCCACAGGGGGGGCTGCGCTGCAGAAATAATGTAGTTGGTTAAGGGAGCTGTGGACTCAAAAAGGTTGAAAACCTCTGGACTAGGCATTAAAGAAGTTGGGGCAAAACCTGTAATTTGCCTTAAGTTAAATGCCAAAGGCATGAATGAGTCAATGCCAGCTACATTATTGCAGCCCTGTTTAAATCAAGAAGACAACAACAGTGAAGTGGGTTACAGAACTGCCTCTTATATGGCAAGGCTTTATACAGACTTTATACAACTTACTCAGGAGTTATGTTCTGGGGATTGCATCTAAAGCCAAAATTACATATAGTCAGAACACATTGAGTTCAGTGGCAGATTGCCGAAGTCATTTTATTGGAACCCCGCCTCCTTTTCACCCCCTTTAATTTTTTTCAAAAATATTTGCCACATAAAGCTGAATATGCACAGGTTAAATGCACATAAGTTGCAAGCTTCCTATATTGGCATTTGATGCGGAGGGTTCAAAGCATTGTTAAGTGGTTTGTTGAGGAAAATCTCATAAGATTCTGTTAAGAAACCACACCTACTTTTTCACTCTACATGAAAAATAGCCAAGTTCCTAATTGGCATGAGTTTCTAATAGTGAGTAAGGATTTTGAAATATATTGTTCATTTTTGATAGCCCTCAGAAAGCTATAACTAATGTGAGAATATAATCTGCTTTAATTGGTCTGTTCTAGTCCATTCAAGAATGGAAGAGAAAAAAGCTACAAGAGAGAGAGAAAATCTTAGCCCAGAAGAAGCCAGAGGAAGGGCTCACTACAGCTATACTACAGCATGCAGCAGCCCAGAAGCAAAAAGTTGAAGAGGAAAGGAAAAAACGACTGAAAGAACTTGAATTGTGGAAAAGGCAAAAAGCAATAGAATATTCAATGAAACAGGCTGCTCAGCTACAAGCAGAGGAAGAGAAGGAGAAGAAAAAGCAGAAGGAACGGCAGCGGCAATGTCATATAAAGTTGCTGTTGGAAGACTATAGTAGGCAGAAAAAGGAGGAGGAAGAGCTTTTGAGATTTGAGAAGAAAAAGAGAGAGGAAGCTGAAAGGGAAGAGAAGAGAAGAATTGCTGCAGAAGAAATTCTTAAGTTCCAAGAGCGAGTGAGTATTGATCTCCTGCATATTTACTTCACATTCCTCCTTGTGTAGCAAAACAGAACAAAGATACCAAAATACGTGGTATCAAAATGCACGACAAGTTTCTTAGCAATACATGTTGATTTCCCCCCCTCATTTAATTGGTGCTGTCTGTGGTGCAGCAACAAGTCCCATTGCTTACTATTACAGGTTGATCTCTTTGCCCAGGGTGAATAAGAATTGAGACAAACTTGTGAGCGTTCAATTGCTGTATAACACTGGAACCAATACTTGGAGCTGCATGTCTCCTCCTCCCGGAAAAGGGAGAAAGACTAGCTACATGTGCGGTTTCCAAAGCATACCCCCTCCACCTTCAAGGCTGCATGCTGGGCTCCTTCCTCCTCCCTGGGCAACATTCTTCAAGTGGGCAGAGAGAAAAGCAATGGGAGAGACAAATAATTCCAAAGCTTTGCATTGGAAATATGTGCCCCAATTGGCCCTCTCTCTCTGCAGGAGTGGGAAATGGAGAGAAAGAAATGCAAGTATACTGTGGCCAGTTTGTTATCTGTACTTTCTCTGTTAGATAGATAGATAGATAGATAGATAGATATTATTTATACCCTGCCCATCTGGCTGGGTTTCCCCAGATGACAGTGCTGGCTGATAGTTCCCTCTCCCCTTGATGTGGGTTGGAGAAAGAGAATATTTCTGTATTTTATCTCTGAAATGTATTCGCGACCCTTCAGATAATTGACACTTATTGGGCAGTTACAAAACAGTAAAAGAAAAGTGAGTATTTTTCTTGGGGAAGCTAAGAATTGGATTCAGGCAAGGCAAATGTGTATCCTACTCCTGCTGTTGTTTCACTGGCTGAGTCTTGCCCCTTCACCCCTCAAAGAGACTGCTGGTTGGTTGGTTGGTTGGTTGGTTGGTTTGTGTCAGAAAGTTTACATCCCATTTGCTTGTAAGTAAGCCTCTAAGTGGTTTACAGAAGTATAAAATAAATAAAATTATCAGTAAAAACAGTTGTTTAAAATACTTAAAAGATTATTAAAATCAACAGTACCTAAAAGAAATAAAACACAGGTAACTTCTACATGTCTGGATAGGCTCACTGAAACAAAAATGTTTTAAGCGGCTGCTAAAAAGAGTCAGTGAAGATACCTGCCTGACGTCAGTTGGTATTTGCACTAGAACCAACTGCCCTGCAGCAGGGGAGGAAAAAATGGTGAGCTGTCATAACAGCCACCTCTTCTAATAGCATGTTTTACTCTCTTAATAGTATGTTCTTGTTCTTACTGATCTAATTAATGTAAGCCGCCCGGGGAGCCTTGTTGGTTGAAGAGGGAATAGAAATAGTTTTAAGTAAATAAACATTACAAAAACCCAGATATTTTAAGATAAAGGTCACTGCATAAAATAACTAAAACCTCTAAAAGTTGGGTATGTTTAAAAGAGTGGAAAAATAAAACCTTGTTTGACTAGTGCTAAAATGAGGACAAAGTGGGTGCCAGGCAAGCCTTCCTGCGGGGAGAACATTCTGCAGCTCAGATTCCACCCCCAAAAAGGATCCCCTGTCTCTGCCTGCCTTACTTCCAAAGCCTGTGACGTCTGGAAAAGAGTCTCTAGAGTAGATATCATAATGTAGGCAGATTAACTGAGCAGATACAACCATGCAGATCCCAAAAGATGTGCACCAGCGCGTAGAGTTAAGCCTGGAAGGGAACAGTGACCCATTGAGGTGGTGGAGAAAGCACAGCGCTTCATGGCAGCTTGACATTCATGATCTTCTAGGACTTGGAGAGGGAAGTTGGTATAAATGAAAATAACTCCCTCCCTGTGTCTCTGGGGAATAAATAGTGCAAAAGTGGGAAAGGTCAGGCAAGGTTATGCAGGATGGGGGGGGGGTGAACTCCCACCCTGATTATTTGTAAGGTTAACTTAGCAGAGGCCTTTGTGTACTAACTTTCACTGAACGCTACTCTCAAAAAGAGTTGGTTGATCTTGGTTATTTAAACACTGTTGCAGAAGAAGATGCTTTGTTTTGCTTGAAAATTAGTACTATTAATTCTAAAGAGATTTTTTTCCCACTGTATTTTATTCTTTCGCTGTATTTTATTTAGGATTTATCTAAAGTTGTGTTTAAGATTCAAGAAAAACAGGCAAAGGAAGACGAAAAAATAGAAAAAGAAAGAAGATTGAGAGAAAAGTTGAGAGAGAAGGTAATACGTGAATTTGTCATGCAGCTCCATCATAATCCATTTGTTCACACTAACACCCCATTTCACACACCATCCATTCCCTCCTCCCATTGACTCCATTCGAAATTTCCCATCCATACCATCACCACATGCAAATTGCAGCAGCTGAGAGCTGAACTTGGATCAGGACGAGGTATTGGGGACCTTAACACGCCTCTTCCAGCAATGATCCTAAACCATATTAAACCCTTCATACCTGTAGTTTGCAGTGCCGAAAAAGGAATGAATGGATCATTTTTGGTAGTATAATCAGGAGGCATTGGTGGTCTGATCTGCTGTAGAGAGTGGAGAACTTCAAGGCTTTGCCTACCTTGATGGCCCTGATCTGACTCAGGGAGGATTCTCCCCTTAGAATTTTTTATTTTTAACTGAAAACCTTAGGGGTTTCCCCTTGAAAATGCTGATTCTTCTTCAGTTCCATTTTTGTTAGAACTCACATTAAATATTTGTTTTAATCACAAAGTGAGTCCAAGGTAAAACAACAACAATGGACGGCTGCATTTTGGCTTCTACATAATAGCTACTGTTTGCTGTTGCCTTTTAGGATGTTTTTTTAAGTTTTCACTGTCAACAGGTTGGAATGAATGTACCTCGAGACCCACGTAGGCTGTTGAAGCCTACAAAAGTTTGGGAAGAACGAACAAAAGAAATTGGACCAGAAGGTTCCGGGCCACTTCTGCATATTCCGCACAGGTAAGGAAACAAAAGCTATTTGTATGTTTTAATGTAATTCATCCCAGAATGTTTACCCCTCTTTATTTTTACAGGGCTGTCCCAAGCTGGCGACAAGGACAATAGTTGGTTGGCTGCACAGTTTTATTAGAAGATAAGCAAAGCATGTATAAATTTCCTGAATAATTGTTTTACTATTCCTGTTATTGTTTTTGTAAGACTTTATTATGTAATAAATGATGTATGTTTTATATAGGGTATGAATTTATGTAAATTTGCATTCTATGTCATGTATATTTTATCTTTTATTTAACATCCTTATGTAGATTACACCAAAAATTACTAGTAAAAATGCACTGTTTCTTACTTTATTTGAATTTTCTTCCCCCCCCCCTTTGAATCTGTATTTAGCAATTTAGTTCTAGGCATTTGACTATAAATGAATGCATTGTTTTATAATAAACTTAATTACATTATAAATTCTTTTTTGCTGGGTTATTGAGTTGATAAGTCAAATTTGTCCCATACTATTTTACTTATTATCTTACATTTATGTATAGACTTCCTTTCAACATGGAACCCCAGATGTTGTACATGGTTGTCAGGCAAACACCTATCCAGGTTTGCTGCTAATAATCAGATTGTTCAAGGAAATTAAAAGAAAGGGCAACTCTAAAAGCATATCTCCAAATTGAGTGAATGGGCTGTAAAATTGCAAATGCAGTTCATTGGAAGTAAGTATAAATTGATGCACATTGGAGCAAAGAATAATAATTATATTCACATATACACTCATGCGGTCTGAACCGGCAATGACTGACCTGGAATGAGATGATTGGGTCAAAGTGGAAAGCTCAATTAAAATGTCAACCCAGTATGCGGCAGCTATGAAAAAGGCAGATTCCATGCTTGGAATTATTAGGAAAGGGATTTAAAATAAAACTGCCAATATCATCAGGCTGTTATATAAATCTATGGTGCAACAACACAGTTCTGGTCACCACACCTTTTAAAAGACATCTGTTCAGGGAAGTTTTTAGTATGTGATGTTGTGTTGTGTTTTTACTACTTTTTGTTGGGAGCCACCCAGAGTGGCTGGGGCGACCCAGTGAGATGGCAAGTCAGCAAACTTTATTTATTTATTTATTTAATATTATATTTTATTTTATTGAAAGAATATTGTAGAACTGGAAAAGGTTCTGAAAAGGACAACCAAAATGATAAAGGTGCCTAGAGTAACTCGGCAATAAGGAAACAACATCTGGTGCTTTTTAATTTAGCAAAAAGGTGGGTACGTGTATGGTGGAGGTATATACTATTATGCCTGATGTTGAGAAAATAAATAGAAAGTTTTTCTCCCTTTCTCATAAAACTTGGGAGTTATTTAATGAAGTTAAATGTTGGAAGGCTCAGGACGGGGACACAACATACAGTTAAGACTATGGAATTGACTCCCCCAAGAAATAGTGATGGCCACCTACTTGGATGGCTTTAAAATAAGTTTATAGAGAAATTAATGGAAGGTGGGCCCTTGGGCTCCTTTGGGAAGAAGGGCAGGATATAAGCTCAGAGTACCTCTGAATACCATTTGCTGGGAATCATGAGTGGGAAAAGCACTGTTGCATCCAGGTCCTGCCTGTGGCGTCAGAGGCATCTGGCTGGACACTGAAAAAGATGCCGGACTAGATGGGCCTTTGACCTGATTCAACAGCACCCTTATGTCCTTAAGGCACCAGACTCCTCCCTCCATCAACTGTCACATGGCAGCTGCTACTCTTATCTGGCTGCAGCAAGGGAGAGAACAGAAGGAATGCATGGCCACTGTATCAGTGCAGCTGAGATACCAGCAACTTTTGGTGCCTCCTGTCAGCACTTTTCCATTTAAGGTGGTTATTAAAACAACTTGTAACTAAGAACTTGAAACCGGGCTTGCTTGTTTCCTTCTCCCACCGCATCCACTTTCCTTTTGTGTCGTCTTTTTATATTGTAAGCCTGACGGGAAGGCCTGCCTTTCTCAGCAACTTACAAACTGTAAAATGCTGCTGTTGTGACTACTTTGCAGTCTTTTTAACCGTGGACGCCCTCACATTGTGCAGTAAATCTTGCAGTTGAATTTAAAAAAAAAAAAAGATTGAGGGGATCCTTCAAAGAAGATAATTTCTGCTCAGAAAGCTAATCTGGATGTTCGGTTCGAGCCACGATTGTCACTGCAGCGATGGAATAAAATGAGTATTAAAAAGCATGGCATTACAGCTGTTGCCATAGCTGTCAACCGTCCCTTATTTGGTGGGAAACTCCCTTATCCCAGCGCCGTTTCCCGCTGCTGTCCTAGATTGATGATGTCCCTTAAATTTCCCGGGTTTCATGCTCGCCCAGCTTGGGAGGAAAACAGCGGCTCGGGGTCCTCCACCGTGAGAGAGAGAGAGCGCATGAGCTGCCGCGTCTCTGTCTCTCCCTTTTCCCCCTCAGGGGCACGTCGTGAGGAGACGGGTGGCGGCGGGCGGGCAGGCAGCCCCTCTCTTGCGGGACTTCCGCTACGCTGCCAGGGAAAGCCGGAGGCGGCAGCGATTGAGGAGGCGGCTTGGGGAGGAGGAAGAGGAGGGGATGGGGAGGGACGCAGAAGGGTGGCACTTCAGTGGCTGCAGCAGCGCTGCAACCGCCTCATGCCAGTCTCCCTCCCTCCCCTCTCTCTCGGGCGGGGAAGGGCCAATGAAACTCCTTGTGCCAGGACGACGGTAGCCCCGATGTGCTGCTTAGCGTACCCTCCAACCAGTGCAGCATCTTAATGTTGTGAGAATACCGTCTGCATCCCTTTCATAACTATTTTTATAAATCATTTGTCCATCCATAGTTCAAATTTTTACTACAAGTTTTCTGCCAATCCTACCAATGTATGTAACTCTTTACAATAGCTTTTCAACTAAATTATAAACTTTCCCCATTCTTTATTAAAGAGGTCCTCTTCCTGGTTTCTAATTCTGCCTGTAAGCTTTGCCATCTCGACGTCGTTCATCAGTTTTGTCTGCCACTCTTCTCTGGTGGGAGTTGTAGACCCTTAGGATCATCTAGTCCAACCCCCTGCAAAACACAGTCAGTGGCAGCCAAAGCAGCATGGCTCCATGTGTGCCAGATTTCTGTATAGGCTAAGCCAAAATCCCTTATTTGGGCTGCTGATCCCTTATTTTCGAGGCTGCTGGTCCCTTATTTTCAAATCTGTCAGTTGACAGCTATGGCTGTTGCCATTGTGTGGAGCAGCTCAGTATGCAGGTAAGGGGTGTTTTTTTTGTGTGTTTTTTTTTACCACTCCAGCACGAACATTTCCTTCTTTTTAAAAGGCGTTTATTTTGGAAGACTAGTAACTCTCAAGCGCCTATACAAGAAAACGTGGAATGCTCACGTCAATGCTCCCCAACCCGTCGACGCGCTTCCTATTTAAACGACGGCAAGTTTTCTGAGCTCGCCTCTGATTGGCGCCCATGCCGGCTGGCCCCGCCCCTTTAGCCGCGCTCCCTCCTCCCTCCGGAGCTGCTTCCACCGCCCCCAATTAGCGCCGCGCCTCCGCCGCCCCACGTGACCCGCGTGCCGCTGCCGGCGGCGACCGACGCTGCGCGCGCGCGGGGTTAGGGAGCGGTTGGCCAACATGGCGGCGTCGGAGGAGGACGGGGGCTTCGGGGACGGAGAGCGGCTGGATTTCCTGAAGGAGCGGCACGTGCGCTTCTTCCAGCGCTGCCTGCAGATCCTGCCCGAGCGCTATTCGTCCCTGGAGACCAGCAGGTAGCCCTCGCGGGGGTGGGAGAAGGACCAGCGCCTGCCTAAGGCGGCTGGGCATCCCGTGGCGGGTCTCTTCCTCACGTTCATTCTCGCGTAGAATAGCCCTCGGAGGTTTCCCCCACAGTGTCAGGGAGCGCAACGGAGGCGGCAGCCCCCGGACCTCTGGACTTGCCCAAGGTTTAATTTCTAAATCTGATTTTCTGCTTTCCTAACCCCGTCCAACTCTCGACCCCCCACCCTCAAATCCCTGTTGGTTGTGGTATAGCTCAGAACTGAGGGGAACTCTGTGTATGCTCTTTGGGTACTCTTGCTCATGTTAAGCTTCAACCCAATTGGTAAAAGGTAGAGTTTGTTATGTATGTATGTATGTATGTATTCATTCATTCATTCATTTTCTATACCGCCCTTCATCCAAAGACCTCAGGGTGGTTCACAGCATAAAAATATAAACTGACTCTATCCTAGCTTTTCAGATAAGAGCAATGGTGAAGAGGTGAGGAACGCCGTGTCCTTTCTCTTTAAAGTCCACTAAATTCATGTGCTTAAACATAGTGGCTGAACACCCGTCTTTGGTGCTGAGTCTTAGCAAGCGCTAAGCCTTGGCTAAACATGACATGGTGAGGTCTGCTTCTGTTCTGCTTTCTTGTAAGATGAACAAAAACAGGAAGGAGGTAAAGAAAGAATGTGAAAAGGAGAAACTTGTTCCCAGATGTGCCAGCTAAGATGATTATCGCAGCTCAACTTGTTTTGGATTACAAGTTGAGCTTGTTTTGGAATACAAGTGGAGCGCTCCTTCATACAATACAACTTGTTTTGGAATACAAGTTGAACGTTCTTTCAGAGCCTTGGTCTCAGTTGGGAGCAACACCTCCTTTATGCAAAGAGAAATAATTTTAGTACAGCACGAATGCAAATATTTTACTTTATTGGCTTCACCAGGATCTTTTCAGTTTCTTCCACTTCTATCTTCTCTGTTACAGCTTCCTGACCCAACTTTCAGTTTAGTTCAGTTGTTTCCAAACTGTTTTGGGCCACTGCCCTCTTGGTTCCATAAACTTGGTTCCCAAGTGCCCCCTACTCTATAAAAAGCATTATTCAGAATAGTGGTTTGCACAACCTACTAAGGAAAGTAATAACACAGTACAGTGGTGCCTCGCAAGACGAAATTAATTCGTTCCGCAAGTTTTTTCTTCTTGCGAGTTTTTCTTCTTGCGAAGCACGGTTTCCCATAGGAATGCATTGAAAATCAATCAATGCGTTCCTATGGAGACCGTCCGGGGACAGAGGGGAAGCGCCGCGCGCCTTCCCCTCTGTCCCCGGACCTGTTTTAAAGCAAGGGGCAGCGGGGAGAAGATTGCTTCTCCCCGTTGCCTGCCCCGCAATCTCTGTCCCCGGACCTGTTTTAAAGCAAGGGAAGGGGCAGCGGGGAGAATCGCTTCTCCCCGTTGCTGCCCCTTGGTTCAAAAGGGGTCCGAGGAGAGAGGGGAAGGCACGTGCGCCTTCCCCTCTGTCCCCGGAGATTGCGGGGCTGGCAACGGGGAGAAGCAATCTTCTCCCCGCCGCCCCTTGCTTCAAAAGAGGTCCGGGGACAGCGGGGAAGACGCACTGCGCTTCCCCGCTATCCCCGGAGCTTGCGGGGCAAGCTTCGTTTTGCGAAGCAAGCCCATAGGGAAATGCGTCTTGCGAAGCGGCTAAGAAAACGAAAAACTCCTTCGTCTAGCGAGTTTTTCGTCTTCCGAGGCGTTCGTCTTGCGGGGTACCACTGTAAAATTCAAAATAGTAACAATTACAGCATTCAAAATTGAATTAAGCTAAATAGTTTTAACTGAACAAAACTGATGAACTTGATCCAGTTCATCAAAGCTTTTAAAAGTCTGATAGTCTCTTGTTCCCCGCTCAGGGGGTGGTACCACCCGCTTTGGGAACCAGTGGTCTAGTTGGTGCTGGAGGAGATGCTGGCAGCTACAACTACTCCTGCTTAACCAATAAGTAAAAAAATTGTCCAGTAGCACCTTAGAGACCAACTAAGTTTGTTCTGGGTATAAGCTTTCATATGCACATGAAAGCTTATACCCAGAACAAACTTAGTTGTTCTCTAAGGTGCCACTGGACTTTTTTTTTTAATTTCGACTGCATCAGACCAACATGGCTACCTGCCAGAATCTATTCACCAATAAGGTTACGGCAAGTAAAAAGAGCACTTTAGCTTGGTTGCTTTTAAATATGAGCAATGGTTCTTTTCTTCAGTTATTCTCTTGAACTCAACTCATTTTCTTATGGCAACGATGACCAACCAGATTTTTACTTTATGCCCTACCTTAAGTGTTGCTTTGGTAAAGCAATCAGGTAGGCAGGCCTATAAATTCCAACAGGGCCTACAGATACTGCACGCCACAGCCCCACTCCTTGTACCCTCAGAATGTGACTTAGATTATATGCCGAACATATTTAACATCATGTTTATGTCTAAGAAACTCAGTCAAACTGGGACAGTTTTTTTTGAAGTGTTAGAAACAAAAAAACCCCTCAACCCTATTTAAATAGAAGGGCTATTATCCTACTGTAAGACTGTTGAACTTATATAAGTGTAGTCTTATGCACACTTGGGATCAAGCCCTATTGAAAGCAGTGATATTTGCTTTCGAGTAAACATCCATAGGATTGGAAACAGCTTCAGAATTGCTCTTGGAACATGAAGGTCTGGAAATTTGGAAGGAGGGGAAACAATTTGCTAGAAAAATTTCTAGAAGTGACAAGAGCTGTGGTGAGAAATATATTTTAAAATTTATTTAGAAGAATCCTTTATGAGTGGTTTTCATTCTGGTCTGCAATCTGTAGAAATCCCCAGTTGGGTAGTTTGCGGGAGAGCAATGCAAACATTGCAGAGAGCTGCTAAGAGTTTAGAACTTGAATATTAAAGTCATCTTTATGATGTATGAAAAAGCTGAAAGAGTTGGAGGAGAAATAAAACCCCTGAGAAAAAAAGAGGATGTTGAATTTGGTCGGCAAGAAGCAAATTCAGTTTGAAACCTGATTTCTCTTTAGGAATGAAATCACCATTTAGGAAATAGTTCATTTTCCCCCTACTGGTCAGTTTAAAAGAAATCAATTACTTAAGTAGAAATTATTTTCTAACAGGAGGAATTTGTTTAGTTAGCTAATGGGAATGAGACCCCTCACTTAATATTTTTGTAAACGGTGCAGTCGTACCTCAGAAGTCGAACGCCTTGCGAGACAAATGTTTTGGCTCCTGAACATCGCAAACGCGGAAGTTGTTATTCCGGTTTGCGAATGTTCTTTGGAACCTGAATGTTCGTCGTGGCTTCCGATTGGCCGCAGGAGCTTCCTGCAGCCAGTCGGAAGCCACACCTTGGTTCCTGAACATTTTGAAGTCGAATGGACTTCCGGAATGGATTCTGTTCGACTTCCGAGGTATGACTGTACTATGAAAGAGCAAGGAGAAAAAATGTTTGCTTTCTATGTTGCAGCTTTTCTACCAATGATTGGGGAATGCTGACCCACTGAATACTGTATTAGATTTAGGAGAATCCTCCTCAGGGCAGCAGCATTTTTTCCTTTAATATGTTCTCCAGTACATGGAGCCACCTATTAAAGAACCTGTTCTAATAGCTATGCAGGTAATCTGTGCACTTAATTATACCATGGCTCTCAATAATGCTGCAAGCAGTGTGATTAGTTAGTAGTCTGTGATCTGTGAAAAGCAAAACAGGTTACAAGTAACAATGGGTGTAGCAGACCTGGAGGTTGTTGCAGAACCCAGATAGAGGTGAATAAAAGCATTGTAACCAAGACTGCAAAGCAAAGTGTACATTGTGCTTAATTATAAGGACTCTTGTCTGACCTAATCATTAATAACTTGAATTGCTACTGGTCTGTGTCTGGTAACTATTATGTGCCACCAAAATGTAATTAGATGACATCTCTGTAGAGAAAACTGATGTCACGTGAATCCAAGAGTGTATTGCAGAGCTGTCCAAACTTTTCAAGTTGGTGACACTTTAGACGTGCATCATTTTGCGACACAGTAATTCAGTTTTACTAGCAAACCTTTGCTTGGTTGAACTATCCCCTTTTCAGCCCTGGGAGGAGCACGGGGAGCATTTGTGTGACACACCTACACACTGCAGCTGACGCACTAGTGTGTTGCAACACACATTTTGGAAAGCTCTGATGTACTGCAACGCCTCTGTAGGGGTATTGTCAAACTCAGTAGCAGGTGGTGCGGGTGAAGCTGCATTGCTTTTCCAACACCACACATTGGACACAGCATGGTGTGCAGTAGTAGGAGCATCACATTGGCTCAGCTGCTGCACATGTGCCAAACTCCCACTGCCTTTCCCCTTCCCCTTCCCTTCCCTTCCCTTCCCTTCTCTTCCCTACCTTCCCATTCACTGCTATGCACAGTGTTGGGAAGACAGATTGGCAATACAGCCCCATCCACACTGTCCACTACTCACTGTACTAAGAAATTACTAGGTGAACTTCCTGGGTGTTTTATTAGATTTAATTTTGACTTACTTGGCAAAAATCTGACAGAATATGTTCTGGGCAGCAATTTTGCAAGTAGTTTGTGTGGAACTGTGTCAGATAGGTATATTATTAAAACAAAAGACGTTTGAGAATTAAAGATAAAGTCAATTATGGAATGTCCTTTTGGAGGTGTACAAAGCACCAACTTTCCCCTTGTTCTATTGCAAGGTTGAAACCTAGTTGTTTTCTCGGGTATTTATAATTTTTTATTGTACCAGTAGTGAGCAGCTCTGTGTTTTAAGATTACTATTTATTGTTTTATCTCAGGTTGGATAAAAATCAATGGTTTTTTTAAAACAAAAAAAATAATTCTACGTCATGTCAAGAACCTGAGACCTAGGTTCCAATGCAGCCATTCAGGCCTCTTCGGCTGGCTCTTGGCACACTCTATGCCATACTCTTACCCACCAATGTTTCATGAGTGTGTGCATAAACGCCTCTGACATTTGTGATGCTGGAATGTAACCTACTGTACAAACATAAGCTACGTCCTTTCTTTGTCCACTTTTGCCTCTGGACCTGCCTATCACTTTTATGTGTCCCGTGGATAGTGGCCCTTGGGTTCAAAAGGTTCCCAGCCTTGTTCTAAGTGGTCTAAATGTTGAATTTACAACTCTTTAAGAAATACAGTTGACTCACAACTTGTGCTGTGGTTTTAGGGATTGTGTGTAAAGCCAAAATCACATATAGTAAGAACAACCCCAGAACTGTCCTTGTGTCCACCTCTACCTTTCCAAAGGCTCTGGAGGTGCTTTCAGTGAGCTTTAAAGCTCTTTCCATGCCAAGTTTTCTTGCTGCGGAAATCACTTTTAAGCTCTCCTCCTTGCTTACCAGGCTCCCTCCTGGAGCTTCCCAGAACCTGGTAACCAAGTATGAGAGCTTAATAGCTCTTTCTGCATTTAACCTCTCCACCTTGTGTGTGTTTAATTTGTGCAATTGCAGTTGGCCAGCCAAACATAAAGCTGTGATCATTCAAGTTGCAAGTTGATTGTATGCAACAAAATCAGTCTCCTTATGATTCAGAATAAGGTCTAACAATAAAATGCAAAAATATTATCCTAGTAACAACAATAATAACAGGACTCCAAAATTAAATCTTCATCCCAACCCAAGTCCTTAAACAGCACTGCATCCTGATAGTTTTAGGCATCATGATCATCATGTTTTTCTGGACTCAAAACAAGATGGTCTGCATCGCTTTCAATAGTAATAGTTTTTGTAGCTGGAATCAGTCATTGCATTACTGTCCCAGGCCAGGTGGGAATAGGCCCACAATGCAGGTCTTGCAGGACTCACAGTTAAGATGGTCTATGGTTTGCATTGTTCACACGCAACTGTATGGAGCCACATTGTAGGGACACCTGCATCACCTTTTTATCTGCGTAATTTCTAGCACCAAAATGTGTCTGATTTGTGTTTGTTACCTGTCAGATTGCATTTTTCTTCCTTGGCTCTCGGTGCTGAAGACATTTTTCTTTCCTGATTTTGATGCTAATGAGCCAGTCATTTTACAGCTTCTTGAACATGTTGTTATTCTACGTTTATGTGTGGTCTGCTTCATCAGTCGGAGAGACTTGTTGGTATCGGTTTTTCACTCCTTCACTCCAGGTGGAGTTGGTTAGTGAAGCTTGACAGCAGCGTGGCTTTCTGCCTGCAGAGTTACATGTAATCCAGCTCCCTGCAGCATATTGTCAGGTTGCAGCACTCATGTCTGTTTTCAGTTCATGCTGGAGCTGACACATAACACAGGTACTTCTTTGTGGCTTAGAAGTACGACTTCTCATGCTTACAAACCATTTTATATCGATGGCGGGTAGTAATATCCTGCTTTTCTTCCCTCGCAGGTTGACAATTGCTTTTTTTGCACTCTCCGGTCTGGATATGTTGGATTCCTTAGATGTGGTGAACAAAGAAGATATAATAGAATGGATTTATTCCCTGCAGGTCCTTCCCACAGAAGACAGTGAGTGAGTTTTTAGCTTTTCTCTTACTGACATTTCATTACACTCATTTGTGCTGCTTTTAGCTTTTGATAATAGAGAGCAAACCCTTGTTCAAAGAGATGCTGAGCAGTGACCATCTTACTTGTAACAATTGAAAGTGCTTAGCAGTACTAAAATGTAGATGCTCTTAGCCCGGTCACAGAACTGTGCAGTGAAGCCTGTCAAAGAGCTATAGTGAGTTATAGATGCAGTTGTATTAAGCAAAGTAGGCTAAATTTTCAAGTAGGGGACCCTCTGCTTTTTTTAAAAAAAAAATGTTGCTTTGATGGGTAATAATAATAATAATAATAATAATAATAATAATAATAATAATAATTGGAGTGTTATGATTAGACAAAATACCTTCTGAATGTTTCTAATTTAACAATATATTAAGAATTTCAACATATCCTTCTAGAAGGATTGGAGAAGATCAGTCTACATCCCAATCCCAAAGAAGGGTAGTGCTAAAGAATGCTCCAACTACCGCACAATTGCACTCATTTCACACGCTAGCAAGGTTATGCTTAAAATTCTACAAGGAAGGCTCAAGCAGTATGTGGACAGAGAACTCCCAGAAGTGCAAGCTGGATTTAGAAGAGGCAGAGGAACCAGAGACCAAATTGCAAACATGCGCTGGATTATGGAGAAAGCTAGAGGGTTCCAGAAAGACATCTACTTCTGCTTCATTGACTATGCAAAAGCCTTTGACTGTGTCGACCACAGCAAACTATGGCAAGTTCTTAAAGAAATGGGAGTGCCTGATCACCTCATCTGTCTCCTGAGAAATCTCTATGTGGGACAAGAAGCTACAGTTAGAACTGGATACATATTCTAGAAGGATATGTTGAAATTCATAATATATTGTTAAATTAGAAACATTCAGAAGGTATTTTGTCTAATCATGACAAAACATGTTCATGATAGTTTTTTATAAAGCTGCTTAAATGTGCTTAGATGGGTCAATGGCTTTGTTCCTTCTTAACTGTACTGAATTTCCTTGTAAGACTTATTAGCTTAGCTGTACAAGAACTATGCAACTACTATAACTTGCCAGAACTATTATTACATTAATGAATGTTAAGCCAAACCCACCACTACTATAAGAGAACAATGGAAGAATAACAGGGAAACTCAAGCTAATGGATAGAACTGAGTCAGATGTCAATACAGTAATGCACTGTTGTCCTACTTGTTGGAAGTCAGTGGTCTTGTACTCTTGTGCTCTCTGCTCCATCTAGGAGGCAGGCTTTCAGAAAAAGAGAGCAGTACTGGTAGTATATACCCCTTCCTCCTTAGTTCCACATCTTGAAATCACTAAGGCTGCTGGTGTGTGGTAAGATATTAGAAACATTTGAAAAAGAAATATACATATAAAATCAGGATCCTCGTGCCACTCTATCTCTGATCACCAAAAGCCAACACATGCAAGATAAGGCTATCTAGTTACTAATCATGATGGCAGTTTACTGTTTTCAGCATATCTCTGAATGCAGGTTTCTGGGGATCACAAGTTGAAGGAGGCTATTGTGCTCTTGTCCTGCTTGCGGGTTTCTCTTAGGCATCTGTTTGGCCACTGTGGGAACAGAATGTTGGACTGAATGGATCTTTGGTCTGATCCAGGAATGCTGCTCTTAATGTTCTTAAGTCAAGTGAAATATTTAAAAGTCTTGTACTGCTTTCATTTCATGCTGTGACTTTGGTTTTGGAGACTATGGTGGGAGAAGACTGTTCCACAAGTGTTTCAAATTAGTTTTGATATTGGTCTGACTTCTTTGTACTTTTTACGAGCCAATACTGAAAAAAGCAGAAGGCTAAAAAGACACTCTTCAGATTATTGGCAGTTTCACCAATCAGATTTATGGCTAAAATGGGATCAATATTGACACGTGTTGCAAATGGAGCAGTATTATACTACAAAAGCTTAAGAGTTATGAGGTCCATGATAATCTTGTTTTATTTTTGAACTTACTGCATACATGTTTGTTAGTTGTGTGGTGGTGGGGATATATTCTCTACAAAATAAGACTTCCTCTCATTACCTCTGATTTCAGCTGTCTTTAGAATAATTCCAGAGGGATTGTGAGTCTGTTAATAGCACACACAAAAATGAGGCTTGCAACAGCTTAACAAACATATTTTTTTCTCTTTAAGATGCCACAAGGCTCCGGTTTTGTTTCCTTAGAGTAATGATTAGTATAACTCATTGGAGTGTGTTACATCTTTTTGTTGTTGTTGTTGTTGTTGTTAAAGCTTCAATTGTTTTCAGTAGTAGTACCATTTATATGCAGAACAACCACTAGATGGTGCCATTCCACAATTGAAGTACTAAATCCTTCCTGTGACAGCTTCCAGAGGGGAAGCTGTGCTAGTCGGTTGCAGTAAAAACAAGGGCAAGCTACAGTTAAAGTTTTGTGACACCTTTAAGACTATCAAATTTATCACAGCAGAAGTTTATACTTTAATAGGTTTCCTAGACTTTAAGATGCTGCAAGAGACTCTTACTTGCTGACAACAGCTTGTTGATTTTTTGCCATAGTAAGTAAAGGATAGAGCCAGTTGTGATGCCTCTGACTTCTCTTAACATTTAATCTTTAACTGTAGCTGATTAAAAATATTAAATGATTATGAAACTGTCCTCCCCCCCCATACTTAAAAATTCAGTAACATGGTTTTTGAATATGTAGTTTTATGTGGCACATATCAATAGTATTGACATATTAATAGATATGCACTCACATGAAACATCCCCACTGAAGCTAAAATACTTCTTATTTTCTTAACATCTCCCAAAACCTGTTTTTAAATTTTGGAGCTTCAATATTAACCTTAGACAGTCTTCTTGACTAATTACCATAAGACCTCATCTATAATAATTGATTCAGAACAGCTGCTCTTGTTTTGAAACTGTTGGATTAACTCCTACTCAATGAATAGTGATCATGGTTTGTCTGTTAATCTCCGATTCTGTGTGGCGTTCTCCATGGTTGTTAATTTCTGGAGTGCTTGACTTAAGAATTGAAGGCTTATGGGACCTTTAAGGTCATCTTGTAAAAGGAAACTTAAAAGTAACAAAGCTAATGAAGGTATTTAAAAAAACCAAAACAAACTCTTGACTATGATCAGTATTCTCTTGGGATGGGTAATGAGATGTTAGTGAAAGATTCAAGAAAAGCTCTTTGAGCTGAAAATAGATTTCACAGCAGCTTTCTGCAAAACACAATGAAGACAGGCACTGAAATGAAAACCTGCCAGTTAATAGCTAGAACCATGTTCTGAAGCTTCTTCTGTACGCTAATTTAGTGTATTTTCTGAATTGAAATACAAGAGCAAAACCAAGGGTGGCAATCGAACAAGTTTTACTCAGAGGAGATCCACTGTAATGACTAAGTTGGGCCCATTAATTTCAGTACTCAAAATAAAATTGAGTCACTTACAGTCCCAGGTTATCAATTCACAGCTGCATTCTTTTCACATATAGGTTTAGCTTTGCTGGGAAATGTCACAGCCCACTGTATTTCATGGCATTTTGGTATGTCAGGTTAAAAAGAAGAGAAAAATCATCTGTAAATTCTCTATAAATATTTGCCTTTGTGGAGGACATTTCATGGGTTTAACTTATGCCATTATACATTTACTGTGGCTTTGGGGCCAATATGGGAGAGAGATGTTTTGTTGCAGTTGGGGCAGATGAAGGCATCCAGTTGTGTTGCTGCAGATGCACCATGGTGTTTTCTTCTCTCTGTGTTCCTCCCAGAGCTCATTCCTCCTCTGGTCACCGCTATGGATACACAACCTGACTGTCCGTCTACAGGCACTGCTGGCACTGCTTTGCCCTCTTCCCACTTTTGTTAGCCTCCACTAAATCAAAGAGTCTTCCGTGAATGGAAGGATGCATTGGATACAACCCACCATAAATACTGGAGTGACATTAAAAATTAATAATATGTAGGAGGACCTTCATTATTTAGTATATCTCAGATGGAAAAACCCCCTTTTTAAACAAGACTTCTTTGTGCAGGATGAATGCTTTGTATGCTTGTCATCCTTGGAGACCCCTCTTGGTACTGTTGCATGAATAATAGAGTTTTTCTTTCAGTTTTTAGACAAACAATTGGTACATGAACTCTTTAATATAATTGCTGTAATAAATTTGTTTTTGTATGGTTCTATATGCCTTACTTTGGCTCAAAGTTTATATAGTTGCATGACATTTGTGTTGGAGCTGTATCTTCCTGGCTGCAGACGACAGAACCATGAGACAGGTGTAAAATCCTCAAGCAAGAGTTTTATTTACAAACTTACAAACACAAAGCATGTGGGTGTTCTCTTTTGCAGACAAATTCAAACTGCAACTTCTCCTCCTTTTGTACTCATCACTAGTTGTATCTAATCAGCCCAGAACTCACAGAAACAGTTCTTAAAGTTACAATCATCTTTTCTGTTTCTTTGCAGAATGACTCCTAACAATTTGTAAAACACAGTTTGTTTTTATTTAGCTGCTGCTTATCACAGCTCTTATCTCTGCAAACGTGTTAGGCTAGATCCCAGAACAGCAGCTATATTTTCCTGGAAGGTCAGTCTGAGGAGGGGATAGACTGAAAATGGCTGGCTGACCATTTCTACATCAACTACATAGGCTGGAGTGTTTGTAGAACTCAGAAAATGATGAGTATGTGGCAGGGTGGAAAAACTAACCACTCCCATTGGCCTTCTGTGAAAAATGGTTGTAAATGCAGAGCTGCATGTGGCAGAGCTGCATTGCCAGCGCCTTTACTCCAAAGTAAGTGGGTTCACAGAGTTCAATAGGAGTTACTCCAAGTTAAGTTTGCAGGATAGCAGTCTGAGCTAGGGAATATGATTTGGCATTAACCATGAGCCAGAGAAAGACTTTAAATTTCAGTAGAATTGTTTAAAACAAATAGATAGTAATTTGAAAATGAATGCACAAAGTTAAACTAGGGTTGTTTTGTTTCCTACAAAGGGTCAAACATGCATCGCTGTGGATTCCGTGGTTCATCGTATCTGGGAATGCCATTCAATCCGTCCAAGGTTAGTGAATACTACATGAAAAAAATTACAGTGCTTTCCTTTGCAGCCTTTTAACAAATATTTACATGATCATGAAATAAGGCTCTGAGGTGAGCATTTTTTAAAGTAAAAATAGCACTCTATTTTTGTAAATTCTGCTCGTAAATTGAAAACATTTCTGTGAGGCAGAACAGTGCTCTTATTATCAAAGCCATATTTTAATGAAAGCTAGAAATGGATGCACAGCTTTTTAATGTGCTTTATGCTTTTAAAACCCATAAGAATAGAAAGTGGGAAATTGTCTACTCAGAAGCAATTCACATTGAATTGAATGAGGCTTGCTCCCAGATAAGTGAAGTTAGGATTGCACCGTAAGTTACTAAAGTAACTACATTGAATGTATGTGGGCAGGTAGGATGTGTGGAAGCCTGTGACTTGATAATGTAATGGTTTTGTTGTTCTGTGAACCCCCTGTGATCCAAGAGTTTCAAGTTGATGTGAACATAGGGTACTCTGTTAACTTTTCATAGAATCGACTAAGCAGTGAAACTGTGCAACCTCTGCTCATATCCTACTTGAGGTCTGTTAAAACGAACAGCATCTGCTCAGCAGCAGTGCTTGCTGGAGTATGTCTTCAGTTCAGTTCTTTATTTTGGAACCACAGGTCTTTCAAGATGTGCCCACAGAACACTACTTTTAAAAGTAGTTCTGGTTTTATTCAGGTTTATCTTGCTTTTAACTTTGCACAAATCATGGCCATTTGCAACTCCTTCGGGTCTTTATCAGATGCAAATCCTGCTCACTCTCTTTCCGTCATTCCATAGCCTGGACATGTACAAACAAAAGGTGTTAATGCATGACTTACCATAGTTTTCTGTGTATAAGACGAGGTTATATTATTAAAAAATGATGCTAAAAATTGGGGGCTTCTTATACACTGATATTGGAGAGATGGGATGGGTGATTGGTGTCTGCTGCGAGCAGGAGATTGTCAGCACCATTTTTGCGGGTGATTGGTGGGTCTGCCAAGGTCTGCTGGTTATTGGCTGTTTTGGTGCTTGCTTTTGGCGAGTGTGGAGACGATTGGTGGCTTCGTCGATGTGTGTGCAATTGGCTGTTGCGGGTGAACGATTGGTGGCAAAACTCCCCCCTCCAATACTGCGCAATTCCCCCCCCCCAAGCTCAATAACTGTGGGCAATCTCCCCCCATTTTCTTGAGTCCCAAAAAAGAGGGGGGCGTCTTATACATGGGGGTGTGTTATACACAGAAAAATGCAGCAAATCCTCAGATTACTGCAGTATTGCCTGAACCACACATTTGAATGTTGTATTCTAAATGAGGATATTCTTCATAGGAAACCTTCACCTTTATAACGTGGTTGTCTCATGTAGTTTGTGGCAGGCGCGAGAAGTGGGGTCCTTGAAGTATGAACAGCCTGTAGGATTGAAAGTGGGTTAGAAAGGGAACACAAATCAAATACACAGAATGCGAGTTCAGAGGAGTCAAATAAGTCTGCGGTGTCAGTGTGCTAGCAGGCTGGCTGCATGGACAGAAATTCCATTCCTAACATTTTCTGTCTTGCTGTTATCAGGACAGCATCAGTGTGCTTCTTGTGAGGAAGCCACAAAAATAGATGCCCTTAAGATAGACTAGCATGATGGGCAGGCAAACCAACACGTGTGGGCTTTTCTTTACAGTTGTGAGAGGTGTGAAGTCCTTCTTTAAAAAAGACTAGACTTTCTAAATGCTGCATAACACATCAGACTTACATCATATCCATATTTCCATAAGTTTGTATCCAGCCTAAAGATACTCCGTAGACTCACTGAAATAAATGAAAATCTACCCTTAGTATGGCTTAGAACCCATTATCAACTCGTGGAAGTGAGAGAGAATGCACATCCCTAGAATGGAAGTCACCTGGGCTTGAGTGGCCTCTTTTTAAAATAGGGTTGCCATATTTTGAAGGGCAAAAAAGAGGATACTATGATGGCCATTCAAAGCAAATAAATGCAATTTGTCTCAAAATTTACCTCCTGAAAAAGAGGACACATGGCAACCCTGAAATTCTCATAAACAGAGTGTGATTATTTTTTAGGTTGTCACTATTTATATGGTGTGATCATATTTCTAAATTTATTGAAAGTGATATTAGATGTGTGGTGATAACTCATTGTATCCTTTTACATGGTGCCAGAATTTTGTAACCTGGGATCACTAATGTAAATCCCAGGAAATACTGAAAGGTATTGTGAAGTGCTGCCTTTCTGCAGGACCAGCTTGTTAAAATATTCTATTTATTTCTCAAGCTGTTTGTCTTTCTAGACTGAACATTTCATGAATATTTGCAAAGGAAAGTCTAGTTTGGTCATCTATCCTAGTACAGTAGTTGAGATCTGCCATACAGGACTAAACTGGCACACTGGAAGCCACCATCAGTTCATAGAAATCTGTGCAAAATTCTTCTGGTGCTGGAAATGTACCCTGGTCTTAAAATAACTGTCACACTTCCTGCTATTTGCATAGCTGCTGCTATGTGTGGGTCATGCAGAGGTGGGCATTTATATATAGCCATTCAGGCAATTCTCCTGCATGTTTCTCCTGCCCAGTGTTAGAAACAGATGTGAAAACGAGAAGTTAAATGGCACCTTAAACCTAGGTTGTGGGTGCAACAACAGAATGTCCAGGAGCGCTTTTTTTAAATAACAGGAATACAAAGCTGAAAATGAATTTTCACATGGTCTAGTCCTTCCCCTGCCCTCCCCTCTAATATTCTTAAGAGGGTCTCTTCTCCGGTCTTCAGAGAGGAGATGAAGAAGAAGAGTTTGGATTTGATATCCCGCCTTTCACTCCTTTAAGAAGTCTCAAAGCAGCTAACATTCTCCTTTCCCTTCCTCCCCCACAACAAACACTCTGTGAGGTGAGTAGGGCTGAGGGACTTCAAAGAAGTGTGACTGGCCCAAGGTCACCCAGCAGCTGCATGTGGAGGAGCGGAGACGCAAACCCAGTTCACCAGATTACGAGTCTACTGCTCTTAACCACTACACCACACTGGCTCTCACTAGAAGAAGAGTTTGGATTTGATATCCTGCCTTTCACTCCCTTTAAGGAGTCTCAAAGCGGCTAACATTCTCCTTTCCCTTGCTCCCCCACAACAAACACTCTGTGAGGTGAGTGGGGCTGAGAGACGCCAGAGAAGTGTGACTGGCCCAAGGTCACCCAGCAGCTGCATGTGGAGCAGCGGAGATGCGAACCTGGTTCCCCAGATTATGAAACTACCGCTCTTAACCACTACACCACACTGGCTCTCAGAGAGCAGCTAGAAGTGAGGAGGCAGAAAAAGGTCCTCCTTTCCTTCCACTCTGCAGTTTAAATCTGAAATTTTAGGCTCAGTACTTCACCCAGAGCTCAGAAACTGTGCTAATGAAGTTCCCTGTCACAAAATGTGCCCAGAACAATGCTCCTGCCCAAAGACACTTCAGGAAAACAATCTCTGGTTTCTGCTAAAACAAATGCTTATTTTGTTATCCGTTGAGAACTATAAACTCTAATAATAATTGCATTTTCTTGTGTTTCAGGGTCCCGGTATTGCTCATCCCTATGATAGCGGGCACATAGCAATGACTTACACTGGCCTTTCCTGCTTAGTTATTCTTGGCGATGACTTGAGCCGAGTAAATAAAGAAGCCTGCTTGGCAGGACTAAGAGCTCTCCAGCTGGATGACGGGAGGTACAGTGAATTCTGTGTTGCCAGGTGTTAAATATTTTTAGAAAGGGAAAACTGGATCCAAATACATAACGCACAGTACTGTAAAGGAGGAACTGGCGAGACTGAATCCAGCGTGAGGAAAGTGAGGGCTTGAGCACAGTAAGCAAGAGGAAGCTTACATACTTTGAGGTCTCTTCTTGCCAGGGAAAGCAAACGGAGACTAGGGTATTCTAGCAAGCAGAGATGTCCCCTTCTTCATTTCACATAGCACAGATAGGAAGCCTGCATTTTTGCATTTAATGGCGTCCTTCACTGGGGGTTTCAGAGCCTAGTCTTTAAACGCCAGTAACTTGTTATCTGTTCCCTATATTGTCGGCAACTGGTCAAAGGGCTCTAGGCTACCAAAAACAGTATTTAGAGAAGTCAGGAAGTCAAGAGACTTTTGAAGATTTAGGTAGGGAAGAGTACTGTGCTATATACCGTATTTTTTGCACCATAACACTCATTTTTTCCCTCCTAGAAAGTAAGGGGTAATGTCTGTGTGTGTTATGGAGGAAATGCCTACGGGTGGCATGCCTACAGATTTTCCTCCTCTAAAAACTACGTGCGTGTTATGGTCGGGTGCGTGTTATAGAGCGAAAAATACGGTAGTTTGCTGAATGTCCTCAGTTCTCCTATCACAGCAACTCATTAAAGGCGTACTGTATATACTCGAGTATAAGCCGACCCGAATATAAGCCGAGGCACCTAATTTTACCACACAGCGGCAAAGGCAGCGGAGGAGGAAGGAGCAGCCTGAAAGGACCCTCACTTGAGTATAAGCCGAGGGGGGCTTTTTCAGCATAAAAAATGTGCTGAAAAAATTGGCTTATACTCTAGTATATACGGTAATTCCTGCTGATCTCCAGAACCTCTTAATAGACCCTCATGGACGCTCAAATGCTTTTACTGCTGTTCCAGTCTGGTCCAGAGCCCTTTTCCTTGTTCCAATGTACCCACAGACATGACTTTGATCTCTTTGGCTTGTCTTTCAAACTGAGCATTCCTCCCTCCATTGCTGAGACTGGCTCCTTTCATAGACTGCAGACTTTATATAGATGGAAAAAATGACTCCTGAATCTTGGGTATGGCTGCAACCAAAGCAACAACAACCATAATTTGATCTTGCTTGTTTTAATTCTTCTCCATTTAGTAGCTCAGCAATATGCTAGTTTACATATGTTCTAGAAAGCAGACACGACCTGATTGTCTTAATATTTGTGGGGAGGGGGTGTAGAAATCATGAGCTTTCATGGAAAGCTGGAATTACAAATGCAGAATTCCTGCTGATTATGCCAAACCCTGCCTCTTTCTGCCACCATTTTGTGACTGATGGACCTCCATAATTTTCAACAACCTTGGGGGAAGAAAGTTTGATAACCCTTGCTCTAGGAAGCAGAGGGCCTTGCTAATGGGACATGGCACAGAATAATTCAGTTTAGTCCCTGCTACTCAGGTGAGTGGTGGGTGTGCTGGCTGCTCAAAATGGTACTTTCACTAGCTAGTGTGTGTATGCTGGCTTTGTAGTAAACGACTGAAAGAGGTCTTGTAATCACCTGACAGGGTTCTGCTTTCAGCAGATAATTAGATCATTTTCCCATAGAAACTGACAGTTTAAAGTAAATTACGTTTTGTTCTAAAAGCCCCCAAACAAACCCCGATTGAGATTCAGTTGAACAGAGCAGTAACTGTTGCATAACTTCTATATGTTTTAGTTTTTGTGCAGTCCTGGAAGGAAGTGAAAATGACATGAGATTTGTGTACTGTGCTGCTTGTATATGCTACATGCTTAACAACTGGTCAGGGATGGATACGAAGAAAGCCATTGACTATATCAGGAGGAGCATGGTGAGTTTTGCAAATCAAATTTTTTCAACTTCCTCTATTCAGAGGATCTTTTCTTAACATTTCATATGCATACATTTTGTATTCCTGTGTTGATTGAGGAACTAAAGCAATAAAGCAGTTTCTTTGCCAGTTTTCCTGCATCCAAACATATTTAATGCAGAATATTATAGCATTAATGCATAGATTTGCCTTTGTAATGAGCAGCGTGAGAGAGACAACATTAGGATATGCTTAATGATTTAGGACACAAGGGACTTCTAAAACATGAATTTTTATGATGCTACAGTGATATACGCTACTTAGTTTTTCTTCTTACTAGAAATAATGATGGATTTCATGACTGCTAAATAGCCTCCACTTTGATATAAATTGTTGCCTATTCTGATTGTGCAAGAAATATTAAGCATTCTGTGCATTCGTTCATGGATAGTATTAGCCCTTCTGGGCAATTCAGACTGCAATCCTTTGTGAACTTAGCTGTGAGTAAGTCTGAACTTACTGGGATTTATTCCTAAATATGCTTGCATACGGTTGCACTGTAAGGCTCCAACATTACAATCTTGTGTACGTTTACTCAGAAATATGGTACATAGCCATAGGATTTCAACATTCAAAATTCCTATATTGCTGCTTTTTATGATGTTATTGGGACATGGGTGGTGCTGTGAGTTAAACCACAGAGCCTAGGACTTGCCAATCAGAAGGTCGGCGGTTCGAATCCCCGCTACGGTGTGAGCTCCTGTTGCTCAGTCCCTGCTCCTGCCAACCTAGCAGTTCAAAAGCATGTCAAAGTGCAAGTAGATAACTAGGTACCACTCCGGCGGGAAGGTAAACGGCGTTTCCGTGCGCTGCTCTGGTTCTCCAGAAGCAGCTTAGTCATGCTGGCCACATGACCCGGAAGCTGTACACCAGCTCCCTTGGCCAATAAAGCAAATGAGCGCTGCAGCCCCAGAGTCGGTCACGACTGGACCTAATGGTCAGGGGTCTCTTTACCTTTACGATGTTATTGGCATATAGACCTTTCAAAAACTGAAAAGTTATGAGTTCATATTTTATGTTAACGTTTTCCATACTAGTGTGATTGCAACGCTGGAATCCTGCCCCGTAGCACGGTGAAAATATAATTGCTGTGGCTAATTGGGCACAGCTTTACTTAAGGTATAAATCTAGTTTAAGATCAAATAATTTAAATGTTGCCTTTTGTAAGTATAGAAATACAGGATTGTGTTGTGAACAGCAAGGGCTATTGCCTATTATCTGTCAGAGCACATGGGTTACAAATTAACAACCCAGGCCCTGAGTTTCCTGTTCTTTTAGCTGGTACTATAAATGAGTTAAACGTGTACTACAAGTTTGGAATCTACACCAGCAGACCATCATTAGCATGCCAGACTGCCACTTCCTAGGCACTTTCTCTATGGGCTTCTCCTAGAGATGCGCAGTAACCAGTAGGCTGCAGTTTTGCCACCAGTTATTTCATAAAAAGAGAATCCCTCACTGCACCATCAATCCTGCACAATGCCAAGAATCTGGCATGCTATATTTTTAGTCTTGATCTGATGTGCAGAAAGCCAGTAGCTCTTGCATAGTTAACACTTGTAGTGAGACACTAGACTTCAAGTACACTTGATTATACACTTGAATGCTCAAGTGTGCTCCAAAATACTGCTCTTGAAAAGCACGTCAAACAGATAGTCCTTCTATGTTTTCCCTCTTTAGTTCAGATTCTGCCAAAGCCGTAAGCAGTCAGCTCTCAACTGCTGTACAGGAATGAATGTGTAAATTGCCATTAGGTAAGCTGTGTCCTGGGAGGCGATTGTGGTAAAGTTGACTTTTAAAAGCTGAAACTTGAAGAATGCGTCCTGAGCTGCTTGAAAGGTCAAAAATACTATTGGTAGTTTAATGAAAACAGTGAATGCTATATTTCTGAGAGAGACATATAAAGGGGAGGGTGATTACAAATGTGCTATGTGCAGTGGCGAAGCTGCATGCTCCAGCACCGGGGACGGAGAGCAGGCGGGGGCGTGGCACGTGTCTCGGGGGTGTGGCACACCGCCCGGTGCGGTGGGGTGTGTGCAGTGCGTGTCTGGGGGGTGGCCGCGGTGGTACCCCCCTTCCCGATGGTGCCGGGGGCAGTGCACTCCCTCCCCCCCCCCCGTTCCCCCGCCAGTGGCCATGTGAATCTTTTCATAGAGCATAGCAGAATTAATTGTGTACAAGCAGAAGTAGGCATCTGGCAGCAAACGTAGGAATTTGGGGCCCTACCTTTGCTTGTGACATATAAAGCAGAGGCAGTGAGGCTTTTGCAGAGGGCATGCTGCTTTTCCTCTGCAACCTGCTCTCTGCTGTTCCCCAGTTGTTGTTGTTGTTGTTGCTGCCGCTGCTGTATTCTACCAGTCGATGCCAAGAAACATCAAACTGGGAGACATTTACTGCACAGCAATATCAGACTTACTCCACCCCTATTTCTCACCTGGGACAAAAATTCACTCCTTCTGTTCACCACCAAGAGAAGGGCATGGGGCTCCCACATGTAGTTCCCAGGAAATGGAGGGGGGATCATTTGGAGAGCTTTAGAAAAGTAATTAAGAAAGGTTAAGCACCCCAGAAAATGCCTCATCCCTACTTTGCATGCGAACACTTTGTCCTGTCCTACCCTGTAGTGTTCCATTTCTTTTCCAGCTTAATAGGTTGGAGGATAGAGGTGAATGCTCTGATTATCAAAGTCTGCCCCTTTTTAGATTTCTGTTATACTAGCATTCTCTGAAGACAGTGATGGCTTTTGCTTCGTGGTCAGTTAAGAGCAGTGTGAATATACCATATATTTCCGTGTATAAGACAATGTTTTTTGCTATTATTATTTTTTAGTAAAAAATTGGGGGCCGTCTTATACATGGATGGTAGTCTAAACCACTGGGCATCTTGGGCTTGCCAAACGGAATATCGGCGGTTCGGATTCCCAAGACAGGGTGTGCTCCCGTTGCTCTGTCCCAGCTCCTGTCAACCTAGCAGTTCAAAAGCACGCTGGTGCAAGTAGATAAATAGGTACTGCTGTGGTGGGAAGGTAAATGACATTTCCATGTGCCCTGGTTTCTGTCACGGTGTTCTATTGCGCCAGTAACGGTTTAGTCATGCTGGCTACGTGACCCAGAAAGCTGTCTGTGGAGAAACGCCAGCTCTCACAGCCTGAAAGTGAGATGAGTGCTGCAACCCCATAGTCACCTTTGACTGGACTTAACTATCCAGGGGTCCTTTACTTTTACCTTTCCATCTGCTTGTAAGTTACAGTGTCATTCATGGTTTTGGAAACCCTAATTTAAAATATTGATTTCTTAATTTTGGGTTCAAAAAAATAGGTGTTGTCATATACATAGAAAAATATGGTATTTGTTATCTTTGTGCTTGAGATCTCTCAAAATTCCCAGCACCAGAATACGTTAGTGGAGTTTTTTCATAGCAGACATGAGTCTCCTAGAAGCAAAAGTATTATATTTAGGAATTAACAAGCACAATTATTATTAAGCTAGATTAATCTAGAACAGTGCTTTTTCTTCTTCTAGAAAAATAGGTGCTGATACTCACCATGAAGTTGTTACAGTATGTGTGTCGCACTTTTTCACAACAACAAAAGAGTTGCCGGTACTGCGTACTCTTGAGTACCCAACTGGTCTAGAATATTTTTGCGGCACTAATATTCAAAATAGCAACTTCCCTTGCAACCTGAATTTTTCTCAAAAAGGGTAATATGGAGAATGGAAAATGGAAATATTTCTTTTCAACACCGTATCTACGTTTCTGAGGTGCCCATGTATTTTATTGTAGTGAACTGTTGGTTTATGTACAGTTCTAGCTTGTACTGATAATGTCCCCTTTATCACAGGCAAAACAGATGCCATTGTTAGAAGGGTGCTATTATTCAAAGATGTAGTTTTTGTTTCAACATCTCCTATGTTGTCGTTTGCAAGAAAATAAGGATCGTTCAAGCTTGTATGTTTTTATCATTGCAGTGCAAATTTGAATGCTGCTGAATATAATTTGGTTAGGTAGCAACACTTTTGGCAAGTCAAATATTATTTCAAGTCAGTATTTTCATAGACTTAGATTCTTTTTGTATTTCTGTACCACAGCCCATGCCATTCTAAGGGCCCCTTGACCCTCATGTATTCTGTTTTGTTCCTTGGATTTACTGGTTTGTTTAGTATTGGGATACACAAGCTTTAGCACTGTCAAAGTTGGCTCAGTGAATACTTCTGTACCAAAGGTAATGTGCAGCAAGAAATATTACAGAAAAATCCAATGACCAGGAACTGTTTTGAAAACAACACTCTAGTCTGCTCTAGAATTGCCCAGCGTCCTAAAGGGCTGTGCTTTAGTTTTGCATAGCTGTAGTTTGAGCATAAACTTCTCTACACATTCAGTAATACAATTAGGAATCTGTAATTAGGCTAAAAATATATATTCTATGCAAACAGCAAAGGCTGCTGTTTGTTTGGCTTTTCACATTTCCTGTCTTGTGTCAGTCAAACATATGAGTGCAATAATTATTGGAAGGGCGGAGGATTGCAGTTCCTCCTTTAAAAGGGCAAAGTTCCCAGTTATCTTACAAGCAAGATGACAACAGTCAGTCTCAGCATCCAGATAAACCTTAGGTCAGTGTTCTGTGTTTTTTTAAGTATCACGAGTTTGGTCCTGGAGTAAACTAGGTCCTCTACCTACCTTCAAGCTAATTATTTTATACTTGGTGTGATGTTCCATTCTCATTGTTTATGACACACCTGATTATCTGGGCATCCAGTGTCAATAAGTAGCAGATTACTTTGAGTCAGCTGATTAGTTTTTAGGAAAGGGTGGACATTGTTTGCTGCCTTCATTCTTCCCCCACCCTGACCCACGGGTGGCAGTCACAATAGCTTGTCAATGAATTTATTGTCTCATAATGGCATTATCTGGGCTCCTGTATAGAGTGGAATAACACCACTACCACCTAATAATAATAATAATAATAATAATAATAATTAATTTAAGCACTGTCTAGCTGTATACATTTGGTTATAACTTTGAAGTTAGTCCAGTGTCTTTGAAAAGTTATCTCCTAGGCTGTTGGAGACTAGAAACAACTTTTGGCCAAGGCCATGTAGTTTTACTAAAATGAAGTGTACATTCAAAGGTTTGCATGAATGCTTACATTTGCCTGCCTTTTGCCTTTTCAGTCTTATGACAATGGGCTTGCCCAAGGAGCCGGACTTGAATCTCATGGTAAGAGTATTTGTTTTCTTAAGGATCACTTTAATACAGTGGTAATGAGATAGAACACTTCTGCAAGGAAAAACTGCACGCACTGAGAAACTTTATTTTTGAGCTTGGCTTCATTGCAGGTTATTGACAAAATTTGGATATCATGAATCTTGTGCTGAGAGTCCTCCTTGTGAAAGTGATAAATAAGCAATAAGGGCATTACTTCAACAAGAAGGACTCAACACAAGATTCACAATACCCAATTTTTGTCAGTATCTCTCAATGAAACCAAGCGCAAAAAGGAAGCTTCTCGGCATGTGCATTTCTCTTTGCAGAAGTTTTTAAGTGAGCCCAGACTTGGGGGGAAATGTGCGTATGTGGGAGCCTATGATAGCATAGTCTAATCCCTTAATTTTTGTGTTACATCTGTGCCTGGCCTAAAACTACAGGCAAAGTAACAAACATGCATACGGTGGTATAAGTGGGATGACAATTGGTTAACAAAACAGTAACATGGTTGAGTGGCTTACCAATCATTTTGTTTGAAAATTGTTTGTCCAGCTCTATATGTGCTTAACTCAATGCGTCCTCTCTCTGCTAGGGTGAATGACACTTAAAATTGTCTTTTAGATACAGTAGTTTATGTAAACTGAGCTTCCTCAGTAGCTCCATGAAAGACTGAAAACTATGTTTGGGAAACTCTTGTCTGGTTTTTCAGGTGGCTCTACTTTTTGTGGTATTGCGTCCCTATGCCTAATGGGTAAACTTGAAGAGGTATTCTCTGAGAAACAGCTGGACAGGATAAGGAGATGGTGCATTATGCGGCAACAGAATGGTTATCATGGCCGACCTAACAAGCCTGTGGATACCTGCTACTCATTTTGGGTTGGAGCAACTCTTAAGGTAACTTGAAAGTTGAAGCAAGACACTGTCATTCATAATCTGCCTTCTGACTATTTAACTTCTGCATTAATAAGTTAATTTAGGTTGACCTTTAATACCAAAGGTGCTATTTTATGTCCTATAGTTAATTCTAGAAATTCATTCTTCTTCTTAAAAAGTAAGGGTATACAAACTTTACAATTCTCTATTTGTACTTCTGGTGCATGTTAAAACTGATAATGTGTGTTAACACGACAAACCTTTCTTTCAGCTTCTGAAAATATTTCAGTATACAAACTATGAAAAGAACAGGAATTACATTTTATCAACCCAAGATCGCCTTGTTGGTGGATTTGCTAAATGGCCAGATAGTCATCCAGGTAAATGAACTTTTTTTGCCCACCTACACGAGAGGGCGAGGGGGAAGGAGAGGGGGCGGGAAGAGAAACCATAGCCAAATACTTATAACATGAAAATGAAACATTAATACTTTTGGTATGGTAAAGAGAGTAGTGACATTGAACACTAACAGGCTCTTACTAACGCAAATCATTTATAAGAACTTCTTAAGCCATGGTTTTGGCTTTACAGATTGTGCTAGCTGGTGTTTTGGTTACATAGCCAGCAGTAGATTGGTTGAAAACAATATTGTGCGCTACATCCATAGCGAAAAAGTAGATGAGAACAAAAGTTGAAGGAAATTGGAAGTAGATATTAGTGTTTGTATAGTGGCGCTGAAGTAGCACATTAAGAAAAGGAGTATGGTGTCCGCATTTGCATAATTGTCCTAAGGAATGAATCTCTTTCCTATCCATTTTTGTTGTTGTGACAATGTTCCCGCTTAGTTACACAACCCATTAGCATAACATCTGTTTTGGAACCATTATTGAAGATAGATATTGACGAGGGGAGATCACTTTGCACAGAGGGAATATATATTACTTATCTCGCCTTTGAAAGTGTTAAGAAATGTGTACAAAAGTTTGATCCACTATATATTGTATACCTGCACTTCCCAAAAACCTTTGAGAAAACACATTGCCAAAGTCTCCTAAGTAAACTTACCAGTCATAGGAACTAACCAGAGAAGTTGTGTTGTTGGGTGGCATGCAAGCATTGTAAATAAATACTTAAGATAATACTCTTCCTGTTACAGGTTGGTAATGGATGTAAAACAGGAACAAGGTAGAGGTAAACTGGACATTTGTTACAATAAAGGGATGTAAGTCGTGCAGCCACACAAGGCTCTGTATGGAGAATGGTGCTGTACAACTTACTCCTGAATGACCAAGTTTGAAGGTGGCTTCACATTATTCTGGATGATAAAAATCTAAGCTGACACTGAAGAGCCCCATAAGGTGTCTCCAAACTGCGTGAAAAGCCAGTAAAATAGCAAGCGAGGTTCAGTTTCAGAAAATGTAAAATGATGCAAAATGCGGCAAAAAATCCTAATCAGATATGCATGGGGGTCTCAACTGCTGTGGCTAATGAGGAAAACCTTGGGGTCACTGAAATGTCAAACTGGTGGCAGCAGAGAAAAAAATTAAATCATTCTCAGTGTTCTTAGAACTGTGACCACAACATGGCTTTTACAGTATGGCGGAATTTGGAATGATGTGTACGGTTGTAAATTAAAAAATATTGCCAGGGGCCAGAAGACTCTGCAGATTGCTAGAGGCCATTCTCCTGGGATGACAGCTTTCCTGTCTGTGAGTTCTTCATTTACACCAGAGCTGGGCAAGCCATGGGCTGCATCCCCCAAAGCCCTCTAGACCTTTCTACCGTTGGAGAGAGAGAGATAGAATTGACAGGCAGGCATTCGTGTGTAGCATGTAGAGCATCACTTTGGAACTCCACTCTCAACCCATCTTCTGTGTGCCATTGAAATATGGAGTGTCCACATCACCAATTGAAGCTTTTGTGTGCTAGACTACAAATGGGGGGCCCTATATAGTTGGAACTTGTAGCATGTGCTGTTTGGTATGGGGATGGGGCCAGTAGGTTATGCCCTTTCTTCCACATGCAACTGTAGGCAGTTCATGATAGTCTGCCCAGAGCTTTGGCAACCTTGCAAGAAAACTTCTTTTAGGGCTTATTTTGAGCTGGGGCTTAGCTCTGGAATGTATTTTCAAATGCTAGAACTCAGCCGTGGAACCTGTGAAGTGTGGTATTAATGCCTCTGTGTTGGTATCTCCTGCTTTAGAAGGACATTCTGACAGTCCCAGCTAGCATCTTTTCCAGACGTCTGCTATTCTACAGGAAGGTAGGATAGAATCTATCACTTGTAGTTAGCAATAAGCTGATTTAACTAGTTCGTTTTTAGACCTAGAGCAATGGAATAGCTTGCTGAAGTTCTCTGTTTGAGCCAGGGCTTCCTGCTGTCATGATTTGAACCAGAGTCTTCTGTACTATGTGGCATGCACTTACAGAGAATGCCTAAAGAGGTTGGGCTTCTGGATCAGAGGGCCTAATTTTCAGCAGTTTCAAGCCTCTGCCGTTCCTTAAACAGCTGAAGGTTCTGATAGCTTCTAAAATTGTCTTGCTGAGTTGAATGAGGGGCATTAAAACTGCTTTTATCCATAGAAGTAGTTGGAAATTGTGCTCAGAATGCTGGTTTAACTAAGCATAATCATTTAACAGCTTGAGACTTGTGGGAGAGAAGGAAGGAACCACCACGATTAAGGACTAACCAGGTATTGAAACTTTGTAAGTCTTAAGGTCTAAACAGCATAAGCAGTAAAAAAAATGAGGGTTTTGGTCTAGAAAGATACAGATCAAAGCACAAATTCTCCTGCTTCCATTTCTATTCTCTTGCCTCTAGGTTGACACCCTTGTTTCTTTCTGTAAGGTAGGGTAGGGAACCTCAGGCCTTGAGAACAAGTTCAGCCTTCCAGGCCTCTCTGTCCTTGGGACCCTTCCCAGGCTCTGCCGCTTCCTAAGCCATACCCTTCGCTGTCCCAGGTCCTCAAATGTTTTTGACCGGCTGGAATGTTTCCTTGAATTGTGATGATGTCTCTTGCTTACCTGAATGGAGAGAGATACAGGTAGAAACATTTGATTTTCATGTGGCTGGAATGTAGTTTACTATCAAAGAGTAAAAAATCTGTTGCCCCAACCAGCTTTTGCCCTTGTGGTCCTTGTGAGGTTGTTCATGATGGGATGTGGCCTTTGGGCTGAAAATTTCACACACAGCCTTCATATAAAGAAAATGCTTGAGCATTTTTAGAAAGAAAGAAAAAACCAGGATAGCTTTTTCTGTCTTATTAATACTTCTCTGGAAGTGTTTCCAGACATGGGATATGACCCAGCATCCTTAGGAAAATGTCTGACATCTAGAAGTTATCCAGATTCAAAGGTGGTCTTTCATGAGCAGGAAGGAACTTCTGCTTTTGGAAGCCATCCTCCCATGCCTCATCATACTGCGGGGGCTACAGTGTAGTGGAGGAACCAGGAATGCCCAGTTGCAGGAGTAGATTTTGTGTCTCCAGATCCAACACACTGTCTCACTTGGTTGACCAGCTGCACATTTTTAGTATTATTTGGTTGTTGGCATCAGCTCTTCAGGTGTGGTTCTGAGCACACATACAAATTCAATTTCGTAAAGTTTTGGGTGGAATGCTGTGTAACGCTAAGGAAGTCTTTACATTTGCAACTTGTTTCTCCCACCACTGTGTACTCCCTAATTCTGTTTTGTAGGTTCCCTTAGTCCTTTGGGGGGAGGGTGTGTGGTGGGGCAAGCATAAATTCATGTGCTGATGGAATGAGTGCATTGGATACCACCATTTAAACGATCCTTTCCATTCACCAAATATGCAACAATTAAAACAGCAGCAACCACCTTCGTTACATGTGTTGTGGAAGGAGTGGGGGAGGGGATTTTCACTTTGATGGGCAGATCTAGTTGTTAATCACAGTGAATTATTTCCTAGGACCTTCAATTCACAATGATTTGGAAGAGAGGGGTTTCTTCACACGGGTGGTCATTCTCTGAATTTTGGCTCTCAGGTCAGGGTGTTAATGATGAAGTTAGACTATTTGAGTGGCTTCCTTCTTTTCTGATTTTTTTCCTAACAAAGAATCAAACAACATAGTGCAATCTCCCTCTCTTCTTTTTCATGGACGGTACTTCCAGGAATGAAGGCAGATGGTGAGAAAATGCAGACTTTTCTGGGTGGGTTAAGCAAGGTACAACACTGTAGGACAGTGGTTCCCAAACCTTTCTCCTCATGGATCGCTTGAAATTGCTGAGGGTCTTGGCAAATCACTATTAATTTTATAATGAAATGATTTTAGAATGTTGTACTATTTTATTGTTGTTAGCCGCCCTGAGCCCGGCTTCGGCTGGGGAGGGCGGGATATAAATAAAATTTATTATTATTATTTATTCTTGTTTTTCCACCTGTTGTAGCAGCTGACATGCACTGTGCTAGGTTTTTGGTTGAATTTTTATAGATGTGCTGTGGACCACTTTTTTATTTTTTAAGATTCTGCAATATAGTCCGAGTATGTGTGTAGAGCTTCAGATTTAACAGATCAAGTTTAGGCTGTAATAATGAATAGAACTGGAACAACACAGCGGCTCCAAAACAGACTGAGCGGCTACACACCCCTTATGTGCCTTTTGGAATTGCCATATATCTCTTTGAAGACTTGTGATGACTTTAGTCTTTTGACTGTATGACCTGGTATGTGGGATGTTGTTGGGAACTTTAGAGCAAATTATTAGGCACCTGTCCTTTAGTTTGGGACCCGCTAGGTGTTCTATAGGGCTGAGCTACACCTTGTTTTCAAAATCACAATATATCACCAGCTAAACATTGTGATAAACTGATACATTACAACGTCTGGAATAAGGATGGAGCTATGTAGAGGCATTGGCTGGCTTCACGGTTTTTTCTACATTGTGATTTTTTCAGGATGCACACATCATAATTAGCAGTATAGTGCCAGGTCAAAAATTATGAATCTGATATCACGATATGGACTTCAAATTGGTTTTGGACGATATATAGGCTTGTCATATTTCCAAAAGTAAAAGCCAGGAAAAGTAGTTTTTCCAAAAGTAGTTGAGCTTTTTTAAGGAAGCCCCCAAAATTGTTGAGCTGTTTACAAAAATGCCCAAAAAAGTGATTTTTTGATTGACTTGCCTTCCCCCGACATCAATTCCGCCTTTGAAATCCCGGTAGTGTCTGGGATAATCCAGACATATGGCAGCCCTACGATACTGTATATAAACATATTGCCCAGCCCTAGTCTTCTGCTATTTATAGTATAAAATTTGTCTCTTAAAAAATTAAGATTGAACTCTTCACCAGGCTTTTTCTCATTTCTGGAATACTATATGGATTCTGACAAAGTTTAATATAAAAGCAGGTATAATGTGATGTGCATGACTACATGACTGTATTTTGTCCCAGGAGGCAGAGTAAGGTCATGACCTTCAGTGGCATCCCTGTGGAACAGTGGCTCCCAACTGGTGGGCTGTGGACCCCAGGGGTTCCACGTATCCCATCCCATCCCATCCCACCATTCACATAACAAAAAATACCGTAGAGATAACATTTTTTTAAAAGTAGGGGGTCCATGGGTTGGCTTTTGAAAAACGGGGGGTCAACAGTACTTCGCTAATTGGGAACCAATGCTGTTGAATATTTCTGTTAAGTAATGCAAACTTTTAATAATGACAAGTATGTACTGCTTACAGGGGTGGGGTGGATCAGTGCTACTTTAGTGGAATCACATGCGTTTGTGCAGCTTGGAATTCCTTGGTCCTTGGCATCAGGGGTGCCAACCTGCAGAAAATATTGGGGTGGGGAGGTAAGCCCCGCCCCACATAATCAGTCACATGACGTAGCGCCCGCACACCATTTGAATGGCAATACCCATCAACTTTAGGGGGGCCTGGCCCCCTCAAACATTTTATTGGGGGGCACATGAAGGGACCTTGGCTGAGTTGGCTCCTATGTTTGGCATACGTGGTCCCTTTCTCTCCCCCTCCACCCCAATTTGTTGTCTCCCATAGGCTTTAGTTACTACAGAAAATTTTCAGACAGCAAGAAGGAATATTGTGTGTTGATGCTGTGTTTACTACTGGCATGCAGTGAGATATTTTTTCCTTGAGAAAATGACAATTGTCTACTGCAGAATAATGCACATCCTCTGATATCTCCTCCCAGATGCTCTCCATGCCTACTTTGGGATCTGTGGCCTGTCGCTAATGGAGGAGTCGGGCATTCGCAAGGTTCACCCCGCCCTGAATGTAAGCACACGAACCTCGGAGCGCCTTCTGCACCTTCATCAGATCTGGGCAACCAAGGACTCTAAACAGTGTTCAGATACTGTGCACGATGCCACATGACTGATTTCAGACTCCACTTGAGCTTGGTAGCATAATTGTAGCCCAAGGTGAAAAGCCATGTATAACCAATGTGCTCTTTTTAAGTGCTGGAATCATACAATCAAGTTCATGTCACTGGCATCATTCAGACAGCAAATGGCCTTCAGCCAGTTATTCTGGATTGGAATTTTTAAAAATTGCTTGCCCCTACAGATGTTGTCTTGGTTTTAATGAATCCCTTCAAAGCAATGTTGTTCTATTATATTACTTTAAACAGTGCAATGGCAAAGTGTAATGATAATAAAAAGGATATTAAAATGTATTTAAGTATTTTCATACTTAATCCCTTGAATTTACTGAAATTTATTTGATACATTCTTCATATAAAATCTTATAAATTAAGTGTTGATTACTAAAAAAAAGGTGTCCTTTTAAGGTAGATGGCAATTCTATAACCTTTGTAAAAAAAATAAAAATAAAAAAATAAAAATTATTTTATTCATTATAATGGACCCGATATGTTTGCATTATTTTTTAGACACCTTGGCTGTTGCTAGTTGGAATATTTTGAGATAACACTTGGAGTACCACAGTTTTAACTGAACTTTAATGCTATTTTAAGATGTATCATTCTAACTGAAAAGAAATAACTAAAAGAAAAAAGTATTGCAGTTGATGTGATTTGCTACAAAAAATTGGACAAAAGTAGTCCAGTCTTTCCTGCATTCTGTGATCTTATTTATCCCACACAATCAAATACTTAACTGAAATGAGTGTAGACAGCAGTCCTAACTGCCCTTTGTTTCTGTCACTTCATTTTGGGGCTTTTTTCTGCTTCTTCCTGCATTATTAGGGGAGTTGTCCCACTGTTTCTGTGTGCACATTCAATACCTTATTTTATTTGCCCTTTTTCAAAGCAAAGGAGCCATATTTCATTTCCTCGTTTTGCAAATTGCATCACATTTATTTGGGGTTCTCTAAGCCTTCTTGGGGGGACGCGGGTGGCGCTGTGGGTTCAACCACAGAGCCTAGGGCTTGCCGATCAGAAGGTTGGCGGTTCGAATCCCCGCGACGGGGTGAGCTCCCATTGCTCAGTCCCTGCTCCTGCCAACCTAGCAGTTCGAAAGCACTTCAAAGTGCAAGTAGATAAATAGGTACTGCTCCGGCGGGAAGGTAAACAGCGTTTCCATGCACTACTCTGGTTCACCAGAAGCGGCTTAGTCAGGCTGGCCATGTGACCCGGAAGCTGTAGGCCAGCTCCCTCAGCCAATAAAGCGAGATGAGCGCCGCAACCCCAGAGTCGTTTGCGACTGGACCTAACAGTCAGGGGTCCCTTTACTCTTTACCTTTAAGCCTTCTTGGAGCTAATTCCTGCCTTCATAAACCATAGAGTCGGGAACAGGGGTTGGGGCCAAGCACACTTTTTCCATCCCTTCATTTCTCCGTTATTTTCGGAGTTTTTTAACTGGCATTAAGCCAGCATTCCCTGATTTGAACTAACTGGGAATTAGGCTTAATACAAGCTCGAATCTTTGTGCTCAAGCCATTGTGGAACAGGAATGGGTGAAGTATGCTGTTGTGATGTTCAGAAGGGCTTTTTAAAAAGCAGACAAACAAAAAGGCTTGGTATGCCGATGCTAAACTAAAACTCGAGTGCTTTTTTGAAAGTGTCTTCAGTAGAAGAAGTACAATTGTTGGGTACAAAGGTGGTTCAGATTCTGTTAATATAATACTATGCAAGTCTGAGTTCTGATAAGTTGCAATTTAGACAACAACCTACCTTAAGCCTTCCAAAGGGGCACCAGGGATATACTTAACCTTTTATTTGCTTGTGTCTCTTTTTGCACCCAGTTCATTATATTCTCAAGCTGATGAATCTGCAAAATGCAGATTCCGGGATTTGTTACTTCTTAGGTATCTTTGAAAAGACCATTTGAAGTTTGAAACATGGAAATCAGAAACATTAAACCAATAAGGTAATTTTATTTTAAATCCCTTATTTTTAAATGACCCTTGTAATAAAAATTTTAAGGTTTCATATATATAATAAATGTTCATAAATGTACCAAGCAAATATGTACATAAATATATAAACCACATGTCTGAAGCAGCACAGGAAGACAGTCCTGAAACCATTTTGACTCCCAGACTGACCAAATGTTTCTCTGCAAGGAGGGAGGGGGTGAGGGAACCTTCCCATTGTCTCAGGAATTAAGTGATTACCATCTCAAAGGAATGGCCAGACTACCAGAAAAGTCAATCAGGTAACTTGCCAGACAGGAGATAAACAATGCACTCAGATTTCTGTTGTAGACCGCCTTTTCTGTGATGTAGGTATGATGTTTTTGGGGGTGGTCTTAGACTCCAGGGTGGGCAATTTAAAATGTCTATATAAGAGCAGGCACACTTTTGTTCTGGGTGGTCCTCCTCTCTCTTGCATGTGAGGGGAGCACCCTGTTGCTAACAGCTTTAATAAAGATCAGGCTTACTAGCTGCTTTGCTTCTCAATACAGTGGTGCCTCGCAAGACGAAATTAATTCGTTCTGCGAGGTTTTTCGTCTTGCGAAGCACGGTTAGTGGGACATTCCCGTGCTCTCTGGCCCGAGAGCGACGGTGGGGGCGCCGTCAGGCCCGCGGCTGCTTCGGCTGCCTTCTAGCCGCTCCCTTGGCTAGTGGTTTCACGAGGGCAGGGAAACCTGCAGAGAGTGCAGCAAATGCCCCTTCCCCCTCCCACCCCCGCCGCCGCCGCAGCAGGCCCGGGCTGGCCAATGAAGAGGGATGCACCTGCAGAGCAGCTGAGCTGGTGCAATTCTCTGCGCCTCAACACCACCACCGCCCCCCGCCTCCACTCCGGCAAGGAGCTGCTGCAATGGAAGAGCCGCACAAGAGCGCATGCACTCCCATCTGCTGCGGGGGCTCCGCACAGAGGCATTGCAGCTAGATCGGATTCTGCCACGTCAGCCAATAGCGGCCACCAATCTCAACTTGGTGCTGGTCCGCGCCATTCTCCTGAGCCACCGACCACCTCGAATTGAGGTCATCGACTTCCAACCTCAGAGAGGCATTCTGAATCACGTGCTCGCTAATGGACTGCTTCCCTCCCTCAGGGACATGGCAATGGATTCAGTAGACTGGTGGATACTGGGGGGGAGGGGGTGGGGATAGGTGGAGAATGACTTAATCCATAGCAGCAGCACATTTCAGGGGGGGGAAGGCTGATCGAAGAAGGCTGATCGCTGAAGAATTGATGCTTTTGAATTATGGTGCTGGAGGAGACTCTTGAGAGTCCCATGGACTGCAAGAAGATCAAACCTCTCCATTCTGAAGGAAATCAGCCCTGAGTGCTCACTGGAGGGACAGATCCTGAAGCTAAGGAAACAAACTTGCAAGACGTTTTCGTCTTGCGAAGCAAGCCCATAGGGAAATTCGTCTTGCGAAGCAACTCAAAAAACGAAAAACTCTTTCGTCTTGCGAGTTTTTCGTCTTGCGAGGCATTCGTCTTGCGGGGCACCACTGTATTCTCTGGTTGGCCTCTGTTATTTTCTCTTACCGATGGAGAACCTACAAAGGACTCTATAAGGGCTCTTGAGTACCCCATAAGGGAATAAGGGCAGATTTTGTTTACAACACCCTTGGGGTCCCTACTGTACAATTTTATGATTCTAACAGATGACCCTTAACTAAACAAGCACATTTAAATAAGAAATAATGCAGTGGTACTTTTCAGTAAAATTGAATTCCTCTTTACCTAACGTCAACATTTTTCTTTTTATTAAATCAAATTTGAGATTGTACTTTTTAAAAACTATGGCTGTTCTAAATATATATTCCTCTCAAGTTTCAGAGCTCATTTGAGACAACTAATAATTTGTAAGGCTCTGCTAGCATTACTTTTGCTGTTCAAACTTGAAAGGTGGGGATGCAATTATTAAATTTAGCAGAGTGCAGCTGAGCACTGAAAGTTTAACGAATGTTAACTTGATTCCTGATCTCTATGTGATCCTCCTGCAGTTTAGCTACAAACATCCAAAGTATATTGCCGTTGGTGCAGCCCATCTTAATAGGCCCTAAAATAAACACAGCTACTATGAAGAAAGGATTTAGTAGGAGACAGATTTTAGATATGGCCTGGAGTATTTGTTGTTGTATCTGTGAGATTAGTATCGCTGTGTGGCTCACAGTACCCTAAAATACAACACAGGGATTCTTTCTAATTTTAAATACATGAGCAGCTTAATAAAATTGGAACTTCCGTTCCACCCCAGTTACCAGTTAATTATTGTTATCTTATTTGTGTGTATGCAGGGCTTTTTTTCCAGCTGGAACTCACCGGGACCCAGTTCCAGCACCTCTCAGGTGGGTGCAGTTGCCATTCTAAGAGAACAAGGGAGGCGTTCATGGTGAGTTCCGGCACCTCTTTTTCCAGAAAAATAGCACTGTGTATGTAACATGTAGGGACGCGGGTGGCGCTGTGGGTAAAAGCCTCAGTGCCTAGGACTTGCTGATCGCAAGGTCGGCGGTTCGAATCCCCGCGGCGGGGTGCGCTCCTGTTGCTCGGTCCCAGCGCCTGCCAACCTAGCAGTTTGAAGCACCCCCAGGTGCAAGTAGATAAATAGGGACTGCTCTGGCGGGAAGGTAAACGGCGTTTCCGTGTGCTGCGCTGGCTCGCCAGATGCAGCTTTGTCACGCTGGCCACGTGACCCGGAAGTGTCTCCGGACAGCGCTGGCCCCTGGCCTCTTGAGTGAGATGGGCGCACAACCCCAGAGTCTGTCAAGACTGGCCCGTACGGGCAGGGGTACCTTTACCTTTATGTAACATGAAACTAAAATGTAGCTTGGTCTTTCTATTTTTCTCCCAGGGCTCTGGGGATTTCCTCTTTTTTAGCATTGCAAAGCAAGCAAGAATTACACCAGCAGTTCGGACCAACTTCAGACGTGCTGTAAAATAGAACATGGTGCCCTATGTTGTAGGCTACAAGTCTAACCCCTGACCATTGGCCATGTTAGCTAGGGCTGATGGGAGCTGTAGTTCAAAACATCAAGCGAGTACCAGGTTGGGGTTGGGGAACTCTTGCAAAGCTTTGGAATTGGATCCAGTCTAAGTTAGAGCTTCCCGTCAAAAGGAAAGGGACTTAACTAACGTTTCAAATTGATCTCAGTGGGACCCAAGTACAGTGGTACCTCGGGTTACATATGCTTCAGGTTACATACGCTTCAGGTTACAGACTCCACTAACCCAGAAATAGTGCTTCAGGTTAAGAACTTTGCTTCAGGATGAGAACAGAAATCGTGCTTTGGCGGCACGGCAGCAGCAGGAGGCCCCATTAGCTAAAGTGGTGCTTC